AAATACTGACGGAGTAAAGGCGGTGAAGATGGCCCGTGGGAAAAGCTTAGTGACAAGGGAGTAATTGAGAAATGTGGGGGACTCGCAGTGGGCAAGAAGGAAAGGGGGCTTTGCAGGAGAATGCACTTGTGTCAGGGCTCCCAGCTGCCCTGGGGTGCCCCGTGTGTGCAGGGCAGCTGGCCGCCTTGAGGGCGGAGCCAGGAGCCCCAGCAGTGCTCCGCCCATCAGCTTCCTCTTTGACCCCCAAGTAGAAGAACATTTCTCTCCTTGGCCGAGAGGACTCCAGGAAGTCCATGGAAAATGAAGTGACCACGTTTATTGTGATGCAAACCCTGCTGAAGTACACACGTGATTTATTTATTTAAAGATTTATTTACTTATTTGAAAGGCAAAGTTACAGAAAAGCAGAGAGCGAGAGAGAGAGGTTTTCCATCCTCTAGTTCACTCCCCAGATGGCTGCAACAGCTGGAGCTGCGCTGATCTGAAGCCAGGAGCCAGGAGCTTCTTCCAGGTTTCTCATGCAGGTGCAGGGGCCAAAGGACTTGGGCCATCTTCTACTGCTTTCCCAGGTCACAGCAGAGAGCTGGATTGGAAGAGGAGCAGCTGGGACTCGAACTGATGCCCATATGGGATGCTGGTACTGCAGGTGGTGGCTTTACCTGCTATGCCACAGCGCTGGCCCCACCCGTGATTTTTCACAAACTTTCTGAAGACCCCCACGTGTGCATGGACTTCACATTTTTTGGAGCAACCAAACTTAACTTTTGTTCATTCCATTTTTCATGGAGCCTGTCAGACGCCCTCCTGTGTGGTGTGGGAGGCAGGCGAGGCAGGCTCATCTCTGCACTGTCTGGAAGTGGCCTGGTCATGCCTCCTGGCTTCTGGGGCTCCTCCGTGCACCTGGAAGCTTGCATTGTCCAGCGGAGGCACCTCAATCCCCAGGGACGGCTCGCTTGGTGCGACGGTGTCACGAGTGACCAAAGGCCAGAGGAGCCCGTGACACCCACACCTGGCCATGACCTTGCACCTGAGCAGGCAGCCTGCAGCTGGCCAGCAGCGTGCCTGTCACTGGGTGGGCCTAGCAGAATGCGTGTTGCTTCTTGTGAAAAACCGGAAGCCATTAAACTGCTTTGAGATTACATCAAGGGGGGTGGACATGTGGTTTAGTGGATGGGAGGCCAGTTGGGACGCACGGTTCATGTCCAGGCTGCTCTGCTGCTGATCCAGCTCCCTGCTAATGCACCCTGGGAGGCCCAAGTCCTTGGGCCCCTGCCACCCACGTGGGAGACCCGGATGTGGCTCCTGGCTCCTGGCCATTGCCGTTATTTGGGTGGTGAACCAGTGGATGGAAGATTTCTGTTTGTCTCACATTCTCCCTCCCTCTCTCCCTCCCTCTCTCCCTCCCTCTCTCCCTCCCTCTCTCCCTCTCTCCCCTCTTCCCTCTCTCTCTCTCTCTCTCTCTCTCTCTCTCTCTCTCTCTCTCTCTCTCTGTCTCTCTCTCTCTCTCCCTCCCTCCCTCCCTCTCTCCCTCTCTCCCTCCCTCTCTCCCTCTCTCCCTCCCTCCCTCCCTCCCTCCCTCTCTCCCTCCCTCCCTCTCTCACTCCCTCTCTCCCTCTCTCCCTCTCTCCCTCTCTCTCCCTCTCTCTCCTCTCTCTCTCTCTCTCCCTCTCTCTCCCCCTCTCTCCCCTCTCTCCCCTCTCTCCCCCTCTCTCCCCCTCTCTCCCCCTCTCTCCCCCTCTCTCCCCCTCTCTCTGTAACTCTGCCTTTCAAATAAATAATCAAAATAACAACAACAGGCTGGGCCAGTCTGAACCAGGAGCAGAAGCTCAGCCCAGGTGTGGTGGGCACTCGTAACTACGGGAGCCATCACCAGCTGCCTGGCAGGGCCGTATTGGCAGCAAGTGGGACTCGAACCCAGGCCCTGGAACGCGGGCTGTGGGCTTCTTGAGCTACCAGGCCAAAGGCCTGCCTTCTGCAAGGCTGCGAGGCCCCCTGTGTGCCTTCGGATTTTCGTGTCCCCCAGGCCCTCTGCCGCCAGAGCAGGGACTCGGACCACGCTGGGGGCGGAGTTAGCAGCTGGGGTTATTGCGCGGCTCCCGGGACGCGGCTGGCCCGGCCCGCGTCTCAGGGCGGCGGGAGCCCCTGGTGGGCGGCGGGAGCTGTCCCCACACGAGCTGAGCCCCTCTTCCATTTCAGTCCTTTCAGGGAAGTCAAGGACGAGCCTACCTCTTCAACTCCGTGTGAGTGCGGGAGGGGACGAAATCCACAGCTGGGGCGCGGCGCGGGTGGGTGCGTGGGATGGGGGAGCTGGCGGGGCAGCGCCGCCCTCCGCACAACCCGCTGTGTCCACTTTGCTGGGCGTGGGGCGGGGCAGGGCCGGGCTGAGGACGGAAGGCGGGGCAAGGGGTGGGGGCGTGGTCGGGATCCGGGCGTGGCGCTGTCGGGGCGTGGTCTGGGCGGGGGCGGGGCTCACTCAGACCTCTGTTCTCACAGGGTGAACGTGGGCTGCGGCCCCGCTGAGGAGAGGGTCCTGCTTACCGGACTGCACGCGGTGGCGGACATCTACTGCGAGAACTGCAAGACCACGCTGGGGTGGAAATACGTTAGTGCCCGCCCGGCCGCAGGGGTTGCCACACCCAGGAGGCCCAGCCCTCCCCGTGGTGGCCCTGACCTCTCCCGATGGTGGCCCTGACCCCTCCCCCGTGGCTGGCCCAACCCTCCCCGTGGTGGCCCTGATCTCCTGTGGGTGGCCCTGACCCCTCCCCCATGGGAGGTCCAGCCCTTCCCTGTGGGTGGCCCAGCCCTCTCCGTGGTGGCCCAGCCCTCCCCGCAGTGGCCCTGACCCTGCCCATCTGTCCTCTCCCACCAGGAGCACGCCTTTGAGAGCAGCCAGAAGTACAAGGAAGGCAAGTTCATCATTGAGCTTGCCCACATGATCAAGGACAACGGGTGGGAGTGAAGGGAGCGCTATTTTGTGAAAGAGATGGTGAATGTAATGGCAACACAGAGCTTCTCGGATGACACTATTTCTTGAACTTGAACCTGGCAGGCTGGCCTCGCGTAGGTTGCGACGCTGGACAGCCGTCGCATGGGTAAGGTGCCCCTCTGGCCCGTGTCTTCTGTCCCCTACATACATGGGTGTTTCTGAAAATCGCCAGGGACCTTGTTCTAGCTTGTCATGTTCTTGAGAAATAATTAGCCTGCTGACGACCCAGCTGCCCAGTTAATGCCCCCTCGCAGCCTGTGCTGTCCCTGGGGCTTGGCCGTGGGCTGTCACCTGCAACAGCAGACCACGCTGGGGCTTGGAGGCCACAGCCACAGGGGACAGGCTGTCCTAAGGTGCCCTGCCGTTCTGAGATTGAAGATGTGGTATCCCCCCCACAGACACACACACTCCAGTTTGCAAAACTACGAGTGGGTTCTTCCTCTTGAACTGTTAAGGTAGAGTGTTGAGAATCCTCCAGGAGCAGCCAACAATGTACATGCCCAGGGTGGGCTGGTTTGTTTTGTTTTGGTTATTTTAGGCTGGCCAAAAACAGAGGATGCCATGAAACCACTTTAGAGAAGCTATAAAGAGAGCAATGCATCTAATGGAACACGTGTTTATTTAAGGCAATAGATTTGCTTATCTAGAAAGCAAAAGAACCCAGTCGCTGAAGACTGCCCAGGGACCCCCCCACACACACACAGCCCAGTCGCCGAGGCAACAGCCTGGCTGGGGAGGCCAGGAGTGGGCTCAAGCAACAGCCGTCACCGGGTGGCTGGTCCACGTGGTTAGAGTAGCACACTGGACCAAGGAGAAGCCGGGTCTTCGTTTTCTAACCTGGATCTACTTGAAGAAAGATTATTTTTGCGTAGGAGAGAGGCCAGGACCGGCAGGGCCCACTCAAAGCCTGAGATGTGGCCAGCTGCCTCCAGGGCCCGAGCCTGGCCGCCGCAGGTGTGTGGGGACCCTGCAGGGAGGGCGGTGTGTGAGGGCCAGCTCGCCGAGGCCAGGGACCAGGCCCCGTCTGAGGGAAGTTTGGGTCTCCCCACGTTTTGCAGCTCCACTCTGAGAGAACAGTGTGCCCGGGGTCCTGTCCAGCCTGAGGACGCGCCTGGGTCTGCCTGCCCAGCCCACCTCTGCCCCACAGGGGAGCCCTGGCATGTGGGCAAGGCTGCTGCCCCCGGCCCTGGGGGACGCGGCTGTGCCGCACTCAGCGGGACAGCAGCCAGCTACCTAAGCTCGTCCTCACCCTGGCAAAGGCAGTGGGCTCCCAGGCCAGTGCCCCCGAGCGCCGAGGCTGGCCCTGCATGTCCCCAGCGTCCCCAAGGTAGCAGCTGCTTGCCACCTGCAGGCTGCCGTGGCCCGGGGACCCCGTGCCTGGTGTGGGCCGTGGCGGCATCTGACGGATGTGTGCAGACAGCCGACCTGGGGCCCCCGGGCCCCGAGTGCTCTCATGGGAGCGATTTTCTGTATCTACCGAAATTCTATTTAAAGCTTTTCTATGTTCTGGGCCACTTTCCTGCCCCCTCACTCTGAGCAGCTTGGTTTTTGTAGTCGTTTGTGACGGCCTCGTCGGGGAGTTTTGTACAAGCGCTCTGAGGACGGACTGTGTGTGTATATATAGATATTATCTTTTTTAATGGGTACCGACAACACTTGCGTCAATTCCTTTGTTGGTCTTCAAAACTCGAGCTCCTTTTTCAACCAAATGAACTGACGTGAGCTGGCCGCAGGGGCTGACCGCCAGGTGTGCTGGGACATTGCACCCTCGCCGGCCGGCTCCGCAGGTAGCACCGGGTGACGACTATTTAACTTACTCAGTAACTGGTCCTTGGAGGGGAGGTGACCCGGGCGTCTCAGCTGCAGCGACTGTAAGGGCACGGAGTCTGGCCCAGCGCGCGGCAGGAACCTGGCTCAGCCTGGCGCTGTTTTAGAGACACACGCACAGTATTTTTATACCTTAGTGCTTCTTCCTGATGGCATGTCAGATCCGAGAAAGGGTCAGAAATGAGAATTTTTCCAAAAAGTACTTTATTTGACCTGAAGACCTCATCGGGTCATTACAAAACCCAGGTGGCTTGAGTATTCTAGAAAACTGCGCTCTCAGCCCCGCCGAGAGGCGCCGAGCCGCCCCGGGCGCGGGCCCAGCGGAGCGCCCGGCTTCCCCGTCCTGTGTCTGTGTGAGGTTTCAGAATAAAGCTGCTTCTGCTGTCCCTGGTCTCGCTGTGACAGTACTGTCCCCCCACGGTGCTGCCCGGAGCAGGGGGAGGGACCGCGAGTTTGTGTCCGCCCCCTCTCTACCCCGGGCCAGGGCCACTGCTGGCTTCGGAAGGGCGGGCGGGCGGCCCACGTCAAGGCACTTGGCCGAACAGGGGGCGGGACGGTGCGGGCTACGGGGCAGGAACGAAGGAACGAGGCAGGTGCCAGAGCGTGCCGAAGATTTAACAGAAGAGCAGGGGGTGGGGGCCGGCCCCGTCCTGGGCTGGAGTCCTGCGCCGCTCCTGGCCCCCAGGCGCCCGGGTTCCTGGGCGGTGCCCACCGGCAGGATGAGGGGGATACTGGCCATCCCCGAGCCTCGGCAGTGGGGGCCCCAGCCCGGCGTCCCTACCAGGAGCTGAAGTCCCCGAAGCCACCACGGCCCGCCTGCTTCTTGGGCACGGGCGCGGCGGCGCTGGCTGCCGGCTCCTCCTCCGCCGCCCGTTTCCTGCAGCAGGAGAACCCGGTGCAAGCGTGCCCGGCACGGCCCGCCGCGGCCCCGCCCCCGCCTCGCCCACCCCGCCTCGCTCACGTGGCAGCCGGGTTGATGTACTTGCCGACCCCCTGGCGGTAGGTCTGGGGGCCCTGGCTCCCCGCCTGGGGCTGGGGGGCCTTGGCCGGTGCCTCCGGGGCTGCCTCCAGCTGGGTCTTCTTCCGCTCCTCAGCGATCTGGGGAGAGGCCGTGCTGTAGGGGGGAGGAGGGCGTGGCCGGGGCCCCCCAGACGCAACTCAGCGCCCCCCTCACCTGGGCGTCAGCCTCCTCATAGGGGTCCACGAACACAGTGGCGGCTTCGATGCGCACATCCTCCTGCGGCAGTGGGCAGAGCAGAGGGCGGCTGAGCCTGAGCCGGGGCATGGGCCCCGCCCCCCGCCCCGCCTCCCCCGCACGGGTACCTTGGGGCGGTCAGTTTTGGGGTCGCTCTCCACGTTCTCCATGGCCGTCAGCGTGTCGAAGCCGCCGACCACCCTGCAGCGGGGGGAGGGGTGCAGTGTGCCTGGGTCCTGCGCAGGGCACCCCCCCACCATACCACGAGGTGCCTCCGGTCAGGCTGGGCCGGGCAGGGCAGATCCAGCTCCCGCCTGGCTGCGAGTGGCGCTCACAGGGCCGCAGCCGCGCCAGTTGCTCCCAGCCTTAGCCTGCCTGCCTGCCGGGAGCCGCTGGCCGGGCCGTCCTCCCCTGCGCCCACTGGTGTGGGGAGCCCCACTCGCCCCAGCAGGCACGCCCCCCTTACCGTCCAAAGATGGTGTGCTTCTTGTCCAGGTAAGCGCAGGAGCGGAAGGTGATGAAGCTGGGGGCGGAAGGGGGGGCCGTGAGCTGGGCCCGCGGCTGCCAGCTCCCCCCTCCAACGTCTGTGGTGCCTCCCTGCACAAGCTCCACCAGAGAGCCAGAGCTCCGCCCACCGCTGGGGCCTGCTGCCTGCGGGCTGCCCTGGGGAGGGGGTGCAGGTGGAAAACCAAAGCCCCGCCCAGCAGCACCCAGAGCGAAGAGGCAGCAAAGCCAGATGAAGGGGTTGAGGAAGGGGTGAGGCGCACGGCCCGCAGGGACAGGTGTGACCATGGCCAGCACACAGCACCCAGCGATACGGCACGGCACACGGCTCACTTCACCCCTGGCCACTGGCGTCCCGAGCCGGGAGGAGCGCCCAGGACACCGTTCACCTCCCTAAACACCTGCACAAGGGGGTCTTCGGCCTCATCAGACCCCCGTCATCGCAGCGGGCGCCCCCCATACTACCCCCCTGCCTTGCTGTCCCATCTTCAATAGCCTTTTCCACCTTAAACAGCGGCCGCCCCCTTCTGTGAGCCCCAAAGTCCTAGGACTCGCGCAGTCAGAAGCGGCCCAGAAGTTCACGTGCATCTCGGGGTGCAGATAAGGCCCCCACCCCCTTGTCATGCTGCCTCTCCAATCAGTAAGACAAGCCCACAGGTGTGCCATCAGACAGCAATGCGCCTGCAGAATCCAAAGGGCTGGATGCAAGGAGGAGGGGGCGGCGGAGACCCAGCAGCGGGAGGGCCCCATCCCCAGGGCCCACACGGCCCCTACCCGTGAGACGCAACACACCCCGAGCCAGGGCGCCGCCCACACGCGAGGCCGCCACGCAGGTCTCACAGACGCCAAACCCACACTGCAGAAGCCGGGCCCCCACCCTCCCCATGGCGTGCTGGCTCTCACTCATGCCTCACACAGCTAAGGAAGCCAGGAAGAGCGAGAGCCTAGCAGAGGAAGAGGAACCGGTGGAGCACGCCAGGGCGGTGAGCACAAGCGTGACGGGCGCAACAGACGCCGAGTCCTGAGGGCCACGCGGCCAAGAGCCCCCGGAAGCGGCCTGGTGACAACGCTGCCACCGGACGGCCCAACAGCCCATGGCTCGGAGTGTGGCGGGGTGGGCCTGCCGGCAGGCAGTGGTAGGCACGTCCCCTTGGGTAAGCCCTGAATTTCTAGAAAATCCAACAAATTTCATTAAAAAAACGGTCTGGGGACTTGATCACATGGCCAGTTTATGTCAGCGATCATCAGGGCTGGCGCTGTGGCCCAGCAGGTGAGGCCTTGCCTGCGATGCAGGAGTCCCGGCTGCTCCCCTTCCCACTCAGCTCCCGCTGAGACTAGCGTCTGGGAAAAGCAGTGGAGGAAGGCCCAAGTGCTTGGGCCCCTGCACCCGCACCGGAGACCCGGAGGAAGCACCTGGCTCCTGGCTCTGGCCTGGCCCAGCCCTGACCTCTGCGGCCATCTGGGGAGTGAACCAGCAGACAGAAGAGCTAACTCTGTTTCCAATCAATCAATCTTTTTTTTTTTTTTTTTTTTTTGACAGGCAGAGTGGACAGTGAGAGAGAGAGACAGAGAGAAAAGTCTTCCTTTGCCGTTGGTTCACCCTCCAATGGCCGCCGCGGCCGGCGCGCTGCGGCCGGCGCACCGCACTGATCCGATGGCAGGAGCCAGGAACCAGGTGCTTTTCCTGGTCTCCCATGGGGTGCAGGGCCCAAGCACCTGGGCCATCCTCCACTGCACTCCCGGGCCACAGCAGAGAGCTGGCCTGGAAGAGGGGCAACCGGGACAGAATCCGGCGCCCCGACCGGGACTAGAACTCGGTGTGCCGGCGCCGCTAGGCGGAGGATTAGCCTAGTGAGCCGCGGCGCCGGCCCCAGTCAATCAATCTTAAAAAAACGCGCCAGCCAACAACAACGTTCCTAGGGAGCTGCAGTACCTAGGGGGGCCGGTGCCCCACAGGAGGGAAACTACAGCCCCAGAATGCTGACAGCATCGGCAAAGCCACAGCTGGGCGCCTGCGCGTCCGCCTGCCTCCTGGGGCTCCCATGTGCGCGTGGCAGCCCTTGGCCACCGGAGCTTCCCCTGGGGAGGGAGGGGCGGCCCCGCCCGGGCACTCACAACTGCGACTTGTTGCTGTTGGGCCCCGAGTTGGCCATGCTGAGGATGCCGCGGCCGGTGTGCGAGAGGTTGGGCCGGAGCTCGTCTTTGAACGGCTTCCCCCAGTACGACTCCCCACCTGGACCAGGAAGGGGCCTGCTGAGCAGCGGCCAGGGGCCCACGCCCCGCAGCCTCCCACATCCCTCCATGGGCAGGCAGCCTCTGGTGGGGGGGGTGTCCCGGGGTGAGGCCGGGCCGGGTCAGGGAGGCCATGGTGCACTCCCATCGCCTCAAAACGAACAGGCTGAAGGGCTGCCCCCATCTCCAGGCCCCGGCCCAGCCCCCCGCCACCTGCCCCCTCGAGTCTGAGGAGCAGGGAGGAGCCAGCACAGCTGCCTACCTGTGCCCGTGCCGGTGGGGTCGCCCCCTTGGATCTGCAAGAAGTGAGAGCGAGAGAGTGAGTCCCGCCCACTGGGACCTGCCAGACAGGTGAGGGATGGGGGTGAGGGGCCTCCCAGGCAACCTCAGCGTGTACCCGGCTGTGCGGGGGTGGGGGTGGGGGTGGGGTGGGGTGTCTCGTCTCCCTGCAGGCCTCCCGGGGAGGGCCCTCCGGAACGCGCATGCGCACGCACCACGAAGTTCCTGATGGACCTGTGGAAGATGGTGCCGTCGTAGTACTGCTTCTTGCACAGCTTGATGAAGTTCTCGCAGGTTTTGGGGGTCTGCAGAGTCAGCACAAGTCGGCCGTGAGGCGCGCGGTAGCCCCAAGCGTGGCCCCGCGGGGTCGGCCACACGCACGCACACGCACCAGGTCGCAGTGCAGCTCCAGGTTGAGGTCGCCCTTGTTGGTGTGCAGCCGCACGTAGCCCTTCTTCTTCACAAACCGGTAGCGCAGCACGTCCTCGTCGATGGCCGCTGGGGGCGAGGTTGGAGCTCCAGGCCCGCCCATGGACCGCCCGCAACCCCACGGCCCCGCCCACCACCACCCAAACCCTGTGGGAGGCGGTGGGAAGAGGGCCTACAGGCCAGGCCCACCCCAACACAAAGCTCACTTTCAAAGGGGGCCCCCACTGAGCTGCCAGAGACCCGGAATCACAGTGCCACCAGCTAGGCTGAGGAGGGCAGCTGCCCTGTGGCGCCCATCTCGGGGTCTGGGGGAAGAGGGGGGCTACCTGCTTCGTGTGTGGTTTCGGGAACCATGGCGGTGGAGGTGAAGGAGGCGCTGACCTTCCCTGTGGAATAGTGGGCCTGGCGGGAAAACACCTGCTCAGGCCCTGCCCAGCACCCCTCCTCCAGGGAGGCATCCTTGAGTGCCCCCCTCAGGCTCAGCTGTGCAGCCCACGTGGCCTCGGCCCTCCCACCAGGGTCACCTCTGGGAGCAAGGACCAGTGGACAAGGCATAGTGACAGCAGCAAGAGCCAGGGGCCCTGGCCTCAACTGGGCTCCCACTCGCGACCTGGGGTCAGACCCTGGAAGTGCAATGCCGCAGCGGGACCAGCCGTCACCAGTCACGAGCCTGCGTGACTGCTCCAAGGTTTCAGATTTTCTACAGCGGCTGCGTCACCCTGACTCAGGACAGTGCACCCCCGTCGCTGTCGCTCTGCTATCCCACGAGGGGCTTCTCCCAGCACTAAGGGTGGAGGGCAGCCATGTCAGGGTGAGGGGCAGCATTCCCGTTTCCAGATAATTCTGGAAGGGGGACAGCCAGCTCTGGGGCCCAATGGGCTGGGGTGTGAACCCCAGCACCACTGCTGCTGACCAGGGCCCTGGGGGCCATGCCTGCACCTCCTTCCCTCCCTCCCTCCCTCCCCCCGACCCCACGCACTGGGGCTAGAACACGAGGCGGCCCCTCGGGCCTGGTCCCCTCCCCGCACGGCACCCCGGCTCCTATGCACGGACGCTGTGCAACCTCTCTTGCATTCTCAGGGCCCAGCAGCCACGCTGGGCAGCCCAGTCTGCCGACCAGGCTCCCGGGGCCACCGCCTCCCCCAGAGTGCCCACTCACGGCATTCAGCTTGTCTACTTTCTGCTTCTCAGGGACTCTCGTGGTGGCGGCCAGGACCTCGTCCCCTCTGAACTCCTTGTACAGCTCCTGCAGCGTCTCGCGCGTCTCGGCGTTGGTGTTTTTCAAATAGTAACACGGGTCCTGTCTGGCCTTTTCCTCATCTGCGAGCAGACCCGTGAGCGCGTCCTGATGCTTACGCACACGCGGCTGCAGCGCCACGCGCCACTCAGGCCCGCTGCCAGAGGCCAGGGCCAGGCCGTCACGGCAGGTCACGCGACTGCTCTGCCCCGTGGCAGCACCCGCCCGGTGCCCAGGATGCTGCTCTCTGTGAGGCCGGCTCACCACTGGCCCCAGGTCCTGCTGGCTCCTCCAGGGCCCCTCCCCCAACAACGTGCACGGGCAGACGCCCCGGGAGCAGGGGGACCCCGGGACAGAGCAGCAGCCCACAGGAGCCCAGCGGGGCGCGGGGCGCGGGGCACAGGGGTGGGAAGTGGCAGATGCCAGCAGGTGCGGAGGCTCAGCCGCAGCCCTGCCGCAGTCTTCACAGGCGATTAGGGGCCTCCCTCGGCTCCGGGAGCACCACCCTGCTCGCACCCAAACCCCTCTCCCAGGCTGGCGCCTGCCGGGCCGTACCTGGGTCTACTATCTTTATGTTATTCTTGACGTGGAAGAAGTTGGAGACGTTGAACTTGTCCAGATTGGTGGGGTCCTGCGGCAGAGCGAGAGCACTCAGCAGAGCGAGCACAGGGCTGGGCACGGCACCCGGCCACCGGCTGCCCTGAGGCCCGGGACCTCTAACCAGGAAGGGGCATGAGGCAGGTGGGGCCGCCCATTTGCCACACCATGTCCCCTCCCTCCGGGACACCTGGCTAAGGAGCATTGCTCGCTGTGCGGGCAGCCACGTTGGCCCGAGCCTCAGGTCCACCCCATCGGCCCCTGCTTTTCTTTCTCTGGTTTATTCTATTGGAAAGGCAGAGGTGGCGAGAAACAGCACAGGTGGAGAGAGAGCTCCCCTCTGCTGGCTGACTCCCCAGGTGACAGCAGTGGCCTGGGCTGGTCAGGCCAGGCCAAAGCCGGGAGCCAGGAGCTCCATCCGGGTCTCCCATGTGGACCATCACCTGCCACCTCCCAGGGTGCGCATTTGCAGGAAGCTGGATGGAGTGGGGCCCTGCCCTGGACCAAGAGCTCTGACACAGGACGTGGGCATCCCAAGCGGCTTATTAGTCCGCTGGGCCAAAACCCCAGCTCTTCAGAGCATGTCACTCGGGATAGGGACACCTGTGCCACATGCCCGGGCACCGTGCACTGCAGCCCCTGCCTAGAGGTGGCAGCCGCCGAGCCAGGGGCCCTGACCCAAGGCAGCGAGAGAGGCAGAGTGAGGAGGCAGCTGAGCCGAGGCCAGTGTGACAGAGGTGGGAGGGGGCGGCTGGGGACGCTGAGGGTGGCTTCCGGAGACCACTCAGCTGGGCGGGGTGCACCCACCTGCAGGGTGATGATGTCCTGCCGGGAGAAGGGCTCGTCGGTCAGCAGGTCCCGGAAGTTCTTAGCCTTGATGTTCAGCTGCTCCACAGCCTGCAGGAGGAGGGAGCTGGCGTCAGGGGCCCGCCCTAGGCCGCCACACCATCTGGGGAAGAGAACTGGCCAGAGCCAACGGCACAGACCTCACAGGCTTGGGGCCAGCCCTGCCGTGAAGGGTGGGGCTCCCAGACAGCGACCAGAACCAGCTGGGGGACGACTTACAGACAGCAAACAGGCTCAGTGAGCCCTCCCCCCAACACATGCCTGCCCTGGCATCACCTCCCTCAGCCGGCCAGGAAGAGCCAGGCCAATCTATGTGCTCCAGGCAAGAAGCGGGCCCCCAGAGCCTGGGGCAATGCTGGCCACCAACCCGCAAGGGCCCAAGCTTGGGAGGAGAGGCGGCAAAGCCAGGGGCCTTCCTGCAGGTGGGGCTGCTCCCAGCCTCAGCGGCCGCCTACTCTCCCAACAGCCACTTTGGCCGGAGCTCCTCACCCACGCCTCTGCACAGCTCCCTCCAGGGGACAGCACCTGGCCTGGCCTGCTCCCCATGCAGCCCTGGGGGCTGGCCCGAGGACAGCCTGGTCTTAGGCGTGGGAGGACCCTCTGGGGTCCCACGGGCCCCAGCCCAGCAGGCAGCAGTGCCTGGATTTCAGGTGCGGAGGCCACGGGAGGCACCCCAGTCTCTGGGCTGATACTGAGCAGGCCCAAGCGCCTGGCTCACCACCACCCCCAGCCCACTGCGGCAAGGACGCACCTCGTAGGCGAAGACGTTGCCCGTGGTCCTGACAGCCACGATGTGGGTGTTGTTGGTGAACACGGTAAACAGCACCGGGCAGTGGTACTTCCCTGGGGGATAGGCACACGCTGGGAGGGAGGCCCATCACCGCGCCGGCCCCTGCCATCCCAAGCGACAACTGCCAGGGACCGCCCAGAGCAGGCACCAGGGAGGCAGGGGTGGGAGACAGCAGCTGCTCAGGCCCACCAATGCCGCCTGGAAACTCCTATTCATCCTGCAAGACATGACCTCTGCACTGCCCCTTCCCCCAGCCCACCTCTGGTGACCACTGCGCCACAGACAGCCCCAGTAGGCCCTCCCCAAGCACACCCTCCAGCCGCCCCGTCAGCTCTGCCTGCACACCCGGCCTGGCCCCTGCCCGGGTCACTGCAGCCAGCGACCATCGGTCTCCGCCAAGTCAATCCCAGGACTCAGAGGTTAAGAGGCTTAGGACACAGGCCACAGTGGTCTGGCCTCAAAGGCTGATTTGAAAACTATGGAGGAAGAGTTAGGAGCGCATCCCAGCGATCTGAGCCCTGGCAGCCCCGGGCCCCGTTCCGGGCATGACAGAGGCGCCCGCTGGGCCGCACGTAAGTAGGGAATGATGCTGGGGCTGGGATCTGCTTCATCTCGGTGGGCCGAGAACGGAGAGGAGCTAGGGCTGAGACGGAGACAGGCACTGCTCTCGGAACGCAAAGCAAAGCAAAAGAGAGAAACTGCTTTTCAAAAAAAAACCAACAAAAACACGGAAGACAGAGGGGCCAACTGTCCCCCTCCATCCCCTCGGGGGCTCCTTCCAGGCTCTGCACCTTGACCTCAGCCGTGAACTCCCACTGCACTCCCCACCGAGCAAAGACGTCATCAAGTGCACGCCCACCCCAGGGCCTCTGCACTGGTGGTGCCCTGCCTAGAATGCTCTTCCCCACGTGGCTCCCTCCCAACAGACTCCCGCTCTAACTTGTCAGCAAGGGTCCCATCTCCCCCAGCCCGCCCGCTCCTGTCTACGCAGAAGCAGCACCAGACCGTTCTCTGGCTCTCTCCCCGACCAGCACGGAAGCCCCCTCCCTCGGCTGTGCGCAGACGGGGCCTCTGTCGCTCTCTGCCTGTGGCAGGTCCTCCTGCAGCCTTTGCTGAGTGAGATCACAGCAGGGCAGAGGCCCGAGTTCCCTGACCTCCATGACTGGCCATGGCGCCCAATGCCATGCGGGCAGTGGGGCTGGCACACCTATGCTCCTGGGAGCCCAGTGCCGGTAACACACCAGCCGTGGAAAAGGTAGCCCCGGGCACACATGCCTGGTGAGCGCTGATGACAGCCTACGCAGGCGAGGGAAGCCAGGCCAGGGTCAGCAGGCGAGGCAGCAGCAAGCTGGAGGGTCCCCCACACGGCTGTCTGGACCATGGCGGGGGTCCGTGGGGAGAGCAGGGGGCCCCAGAGTGGGGCTGGGCCTGGGCGGGCCGTGGTGAAGAGGAGCGTGGAAACCCCTTGCGGCCACTCTGGCCTGAGCGGCTTCTGCCTCCAGGAATGGGCAGGTGGCAGCCTTGGTCAGGTGCAGCTCGCCGATGCCCACAAAGGCCACGGCAGCTCACGATGCCCCAGCCGAGCGCTCAGTACCCACAATTCTGCTTCCACTCGGAGGGGCCAGTCTTGTGGCATAGCAGGTTAAGCCGCCTCCTGCAACACCAGCATCTCACACAGGTGCCGGTTCGAGTCCCGGCTGCTCCACTTCCCATCCAGCTCTCTGCTCAAGCGCCTGGGAAGCAGCAGCAGATGGGCCAAGAGCTTAGGCCCCTGCACCCACAGGGAGACCCGGAAAAAGCTCTTGGCCTCTGCCTGGCCCAGCCCTGGCCATTGTGGCCATCTGGAAAGTGAACCAGTAGATGGAAGACCTCTCTCCGTCTCTAACTCTGCCTTTCAAGTAGAATAAGATGAATCTTGGAACTTATAGGAGTCCTCGGGCATCTTTGGAGAAAGGAGACCCAAGGGCCCACCTTGCCCAGGAAGGAGGCCCGGGGCTCCCAGGAGAACTCAGCGAGGGCAGGGCCGGGGCTGCAGCCCTGGAGTTGGGGGCGGGGAGGGGACACTCACCCTCACTGTTCTTGGCGAAGTTCAGCTTGATCAGGGACCGCCCGTCGAGTTTCTGGAGGATGCACAACAGAGGGCGATGAGAGATGACGGACGCAACAAGCTGCTGCGGCCACAGGCGTTGGGGTGGGGACAGCACCCGGCACGGCCCACTCACGGTGACGCGCAGGCTGCAGGCACTGGGGTCACAGAGGCACCGACCCCCCAGCATGGCCCACCCACGGGGCAACATTTTTACGGCGAGCACAGACCCTTTCTGGAATGAACCACTGACTCTTTTTTGAAGCTAAGGGGGCATGCCAGTGTTTCCCTTTGCACTCTGATGTAGGAATACTTAGAGAAAGAAGGAACGGCGGGTGTGGGACCAACCGGTGGTGTGGTGCCCTCTAGTGACGAAACGGCAACAACACACCACTGGCGGATGCCCGGCAAACCCCCAGCTTACAGCACCACCTGGTGCTGAGACAGCTGCCCATGGGCTGGGAGAGAAACCGCTGCAGACAGGCCAGGTTATGAAGACTAACACTTCCACGTGCACATAATGTCAGTCACCAACAATTGCCAGGAATTTTGTTTCTAAAGATTTATTTACGTGAAAGGCAGAGTTAGGGAGAAACCAAAAGAGACCCTCTATCTGCCTGTTCACTCGCCAAACAGCTGCAATGACTAGGGCTGAGCAGGGCCAAAGCCAGGAGCCAGGAGCTTCCTCCAGGTCTCCCACGCGGGTCCCTATCATTAAGAACCTCAGGGAAGGGGCCGGCGGGGTGGCACAGCAGGTTAAACCAGCACCTGCAACACCGGCTTCCCATATGGGTGGCAGTTCAAGGCCTGGTTGCTCCACTTCCGATCCAGCTCTCTGCTATGGCCTGGAAAAGCAGTAGAAGATGGCCCAAGTCTTTGGGCCCCTGCACCTGCATGGGAGACCCAGAGGAAGCTCCTGGCTTCGGATTGGCGCAGCTCCGGCTGTTGCGGCCAAATGGGGAGTGAACCAGCGGATGGAAGCCCTCTCTGCATCGCCCCCGCCTCTGCCTCTCTGTAACTCTTTCAAACAAAATAAATAAAGATGCCCTCATCTCACACCAGAGGGCCTGGGTTCGATCCCCAGCTCTGGTTCCAGATTCCAGCTTCCTATCAGTGTAGACCCTAGGAGGCAGCAGTGACAGCTCGGGTGACCAGGTCCCTGCCACCCACTAGGGAAGCTGAATTCAGCTGCCAGATTCTTGCTTAGTTCCAGTCCAGCCATGGGCATAACGGACATCTCGGGGCTGAGCCAGCAGATGTGAATTCTGTGTCTGTCTGTGGTCTCTCTTAGTCTTTCAAATAAATAAATAAAAGTATTTTGAAATTTAACAAGAGCCTGACTGGTGCTGTGGCGCAGCAGGTAAAACCGCCGCCTGCAGCGCCAACATCCCATGTGGCCGGTGGTTCAAGTCCCAGCTGCTCCACTACCGATCCAGCTCCCTGCTAATATGCATGAGAAAGCAGTAGAGGATGGCCCAAGTGCTTGGGGCCCTGCACCCATGTGGGAAACCCAGATGGCTTCAGCCTGCCCCAGCCCTGGCCCTTGTAGCCACTTGGGAAATGAACCAGTGGTTGGAAGATCTCTCTCTCTCTCTCTCGCTCTCTAACTCTGCCTTTCAAATAAATAAATCTTTTTTTAAAAAAACATTTATTTATTTATTTATTTGAAAAGTAGATTTAGAGAGAGGCAGAGGCAGAGGCTTCTGCATCAACTGCTCCCTGGCAAAGGTACTAGGAGCATGCCTGGAGAGAGGTCCGTCTCCTCCGGAAAAGGCGCTTGGGAAAACTGAACAGGTCACACGCACCCATCTTCACAACATACAAAAGTCAACGCAAAGCAGCTTCAAGACCCAAATGTAAGAAATGGAACTATTAGAAGAACACAGGGGAGATGCGTTAGGACATCGGGATGGGCAAGGATTTTCTGAACACCCCCAAAAGCCCAGGAAACTGAAACAAAACGGGATATGAGACTTCATCGAACTAAAAAGCTTCCAACAGCGAAGGGAGAGACACCCTGCAGCACGGGAGAGAGCTTCTGCTGGTTGTACATCGCACAAGTGGCTAAGAACCAGAACATAAGGGGCGTGACTGAGCAACAGAGGAACAAATAACCCAACCTCAAAACGGGCCATGGATCCGAAAAGACATTTTCCTAAGGAAAAACACACAAATGGCCCAGGAGAAGACGTTCAGCATCACGAACCATGAGAGGAAGGCCGATCAAACCACAAGGAGGTATCACCTCCCTCCAGGCAGTGGCTCTGACCAGAAAGACGAAAGACAACAAGAGCTGCCGAGGAGGGGGAGGAAACACTAAAGCCAGAACCCCCGTACGATCGAGCTAAGCCCAAGAGCAATGGAACCCGCTGCGTTCCCACGTTTACAGCAGCATCTTCCAGGGCTCACACACCGGGGAACAGGAGAAAACCAAGTGTTCGCTAACCGACGAACAGGCACAGAAAACATGACACACACACACACACACACACACACACACACACACCTGAACACCGCTCAGCCACGCAGACGGCCCAGGACCACCCAGTCGCACTCACATGCACTCTAAGAAGCCGATCTCGCGCAAGCTGAGCGTGCTGGTTACCAGAAGCTGGGAGGGGAGTGGAAGAGAATGGAGGGGAGGGGTACGAAAGGCACCAGGACAAAGCAAAGGCCCAAGCAAGGGTCCCCAACACCGCTCGCCCCCACCCAGCCACCTACCTCTCCAGTGCTGGGGTTGGTCCCGTACTTCTTAAGCCACGGAACTATGTTCCTGGAGGGAAGAGAAAGCCGAGTCACCGGGACCACAAGCTCGGAGCTAGTGCGGAATGGGCCCCGGCAGGCACGGGGCTGCCCGCACGCCCACGCGTGCCGCAGGGTGGGGGCAGTGCCAAGCCAAGGGCAGATCCCACACTCCGCTCATAAGCGTGTCTCAGCCATGGTGCTTACCTCACGGACAAAAGGGACCATGGCAGTTTCCCATTTGCTTCCTATTCCCCAAGACGAAGTTAAAATGACAGAGGCCAGGTTGTATTAGGACATGGAAGTGGGCACACAGCGCTGGGACCCCCCCCCCCCCAACAAGTGGTAGATGGGGCGGGGGGTGGCCGGTCTAATTCCAGGCAGCCACAGGGGCACTGCTGCCATGGCCCCAGGTGCCTGCGTCTCCCCAGGCTGCAGGGACCAGGGGTCTGGCGGCCTTGGCGCTGCCTGGAGCCACAAACCGCGACATCGGCCCAACGTCCTCAACAATCTCACCACACGTGTTAGATCAGAATTCAAGAACAACTCACAGTAAGTCAAAGACGACGCCTTCCGGGGTGCAGACTGGGTAGACGAAGGGCTGTAGAGAGAGACTGAGAGAACGGAGTCACTCTTGGGTCAGCCCTCAGGCAGGCACCGCGGCAAGGCCTCCCTCGGGCCTCCCTCCGACAACTCTGGGGCCGCGCTGCACGGCCCATACAAACTGGTGAGGACAAGGCAAGGGTCCTGGCTGCCCTCACTCCCCTCTGCGTGGCCTTGGGGAGGCCAGACCAGAACTGCCTCTCTTTGTTCACAGAGCAGGTGGTCCAGCGGGGCTGGCATGATCTCAGAGGCCCTGCCTGCCCCCGGCCATCTTAAGAATCCCCTAGGTTGCCTAGGGGTGGGCACACAACCCGGCAAGACCTGAGTCCCTCTGACACAGGGGTGGGGGCCAGGGGGCACAGGAGCCCCCCGAGGCCTGGCTACAGTCATCCCCACAGGCATGGAGAGTGCTCCTGGGGAATCACGTCGTGCCAGTGGCCCTGGCCTTGCATGCGGCTCCTGTCAGAGGCACCCAGAGGAGCCCGTGCGGTAGCTTAGTGGGTTAAGCTGCTGCCTGTGACACTCGCAATCCCATATGGGCGCCGGTTCAAGCCCTGGCTGCTCCACTTCCTATCCAGCTCCCTGCTAATGCACCTGGGAAAGCAGCAGAGGATGGCCCAAAGACTTGGGCCCCTGCACACACATAGGAGACCTGGAAGTTCTTTCTCTCTTCACCTCTCTCCCTTTCTTTCTCTGTAATTCTGCCTTCTCAAATAAACAAATAAATCTTAATAACCATAACAGTAAGTCATCCAGAGCCTTGGCTCACCTGGCTTCTGCTCTGTCACCTAGGAGTTGAATCAGCAGAGGTCGGTCCCCCACGCTCTGAACAGCCTGGCTACCCGACCTCCAGGATGCTGCCTCCTTTGGACCACCAGGCCATTTCCTGCCTTTTTTTTTTTTTAAAGTTTATTTATTTGAAAGGCAGAGTTACAGAGCAAAAGGGAGAGATGGAGACAGTGACAGACGAGAGAAGAGAGAAAGAGAGAGAGAGAAAGAGAGAGAGAGAAAGAGGGAGAGGGGAGAGGGGAGAGGTAGAGGAGAGAGAGGTCTTCCAAATGGCCACAGCAGCCAGGGCTGGGCCAGGCCAAAGTCAGGAGCCAGGAACTCCACTCAGGTCTCCCACGCGGGTGCAGAGGCCCTCACACTCTAACTGCGGCAGTGATGAGCGAGCAGCGCGGGACCCGACACCACAGCCCGCGCCAGGCAGTGTGTGGTGAGCAGGCACCTGCTCCCAAGCGTGACCCATGGGTGCATTTTCACCCACAACCCACAGGGGTCATCAAGACACAGACGAGACACCTCGTGGGCGAGCCAGGAGCCAAGGCCAGAAGCTCTGTCTTCCCATCAGTGCAGAGGAGACCACGGTACCAGGAGGCAGCACCAGCCTGGCAGGGGTGGAGAGACTTCGGCCAGTGATACCTGGGCCCTGGTTGGTCACCCTCCCTCCCCAGCCAGGTGCCGGCAAGCAGGGGCAAAGGTCTTCCCCAACCAGTGACTGAGCGGGAGCCTCCTGGGGACCCGTGGACAGGTGCAGGGAGGCCCAGCTGGCCGGCTTAAGTGGCTGCACCCCCTGGAGCAAAGCCCTTGGCCCTTTCCTACCACATGTCCAGCTGACCCACCTCGACGGGGGTGCCAGGATCACTCACTCGCTGTACGTCTCCCTCACTCTCTCCCTCTGGGTTGCTCTGCTTTTCAACTATTTACTTACACTTACACACACACACACACACACACACACACGGGGCGAGGGGACCTGGTGCTGTGGCGCAGTGGGTTAAGCTGCTGCTTGCAACACCACCATCCCATATGGGCACAGGTTCGAGTCCTGGCTGCTCCGCTTCCAATCCAACTCCCTGCCAATGTGCCTGGGAAGGCAGTGCAAGATGGCCCAAGTGCCTGGGCCTCTGCACCTGCGTGGGAGACCTGGATGGAGTTCCTGGCACCTGACTTTGGCCTGGCCCAGCCGTGGCTGCTGTGGCCATTTGGAAGACCTCTCTCTCTCGTCTATCACTGTCACTGTCTCAATCTCTCCCTTTTGCTCTGTAACTCTGCCTTTCAAATAAATAAAATAAACCTTAAAAAAAAAAAAAAAAAAAACAGAATGAGGCTAAAAGGCAGAGCACAGCAAATACACACAGTAAGCAAACACCGCCCATAGGCTGTCAGTACCAAGGGTCCCCCCTCCTCATGCAGGGAAGGTGGGGGTGTGTGGGGGGCCCAGAGAGAACCCCCAAGGCCAGACTCACCTCCGCTGTCAGAGTGCACCCGCAAGGGAAAGGCAAACCTTCAAAACCCTTACCTGCAGTGGTCGAAGGGTAAACGGCGGAAATTTGACTGGGGGAGATCTGTTTTGTGGGGAACAAAAGGGGAACACCGGCTGTGTCAAATAGCTCCACTCCGTGTACCTGCCCACAAGCACAGCTGTCTTATGGGAAAAGGAGTGCTCAAGTACTCAGCACCGCCACTGCCGTGGGCACCAAACACAGGGAGGGCGTGGACAGAGGAGGAGCTGGAGAGAGCGTGAAAATTACAACAGGGGCTGGAGATATGGCGTGGTAGGTTAAGCCGCTGCCTACAGTGCCAGCATCCCATGTGGGCACCAGTTCAAGTCCTGGCTGCTCCACTTCTTCTTCTTTTTTTTTTTAAAGATTTATTTATTTGAAAGTCAGAATTACACAGGGAGAGGAGAGGCAGAGAGAGAGGTCTTCTGTGCCGATCCAAAGCCAGGAGCCAGGAGCTTCTTCTGGGTCTCCCACGTGGGTGCAGGGGCCCAAGGATCTGGGCCATCTTCTACTGTTTTCCCAGGCCATGGCAGGGAGCTGGATTGGAAGAGGAGCAGCCAGGTCTCGAACCGGCGCCTGTATGGGATGCCAGCACTTCAGGCCAGGGTGTTAACCCATTGCGCCGCAGCACCGGCCCTGGCTGCTCCACTTCTGATCCAGCTCTCTGCTGTGGCCTGCGAAAGCACCGGAAGATGACCCAAGTGCATGGGCCCCTGCACCAGTGTCAGAGACCCAGATGAAGCTCCTGGCTTCGGATCAGCCATTGTGGCCATTTGGGGAGTGGGTCAGTGGATGGAAGATCTGTCTGTCTCCCCTTTGTCTGTAACTCTGCCTCTCAAATAATTTTTTTTTTCTTTTTGACAGGCAGAGTGGACGGTGAGAGAGAGAGAAAGAGAGAAAGGTCTTCCTTTTCCGTTGGTTCACCCCCCAGTGGCCTCTGCAGCCGGCACGCTGCGGCCAGCGCACGGCGCTGATCTGAAGCCAGGAGCCAGGAGGTGCTTCTCCTGGTCTCCCATGCGGGTGCAGGGCCCAAGCACTTGGGCCACAGAAGAGAACTGGACTGGAAGAGGAGCAACCGGGACAGAATCCGGCGCCCCGACCGGGACTAGAACCCGGTGTGCTGGCGCTGCAGGCGGAGGATTAGCCTAGTGAGCCGCAGCGCCAGCCAATAACTAGATCTTAAAAAAAAAAAAAAGAGGGCCAGCACTGTAGTGTAGGGGGTAAAGCTGCCGCCTCCAGTGCTGGCATCCCTTATGGGTGCCAGTTCAAGTCCTGGCTGCTCTTTTGATCCAGCTCTCTGCTATGGCCTAGGAAAGCAGTGGAAGATGGCCCAAACCCTTGGGCCCTTGCACCCACGTGGGAGACCTGGAGGAAGCTCCTGGTTCCTGGCTTCAGATCAGTCCAGCTCCAGCCGTTGCGGCCAATTGGGGAGTGAACCAGCAGATGGAAGACCTCTCTCTCTCTGCCTCTCTCTTTGCCTCTCCTTCTCTCTCTGGTAACTCTGACTTTGAAATAAATCAATAAATCTTAAAAAAAAAAAAAAAAAAGAAAGAAAAAGAAAAAATGTAGACCACGGTTCTTTTCACCACAGCCTGGAGCACTTTGGTTATTTTAAGCCATATTTAAAAAAAAATCGCCAGTGGGTGGGGCATCTTTCCTCTTCCGTGAATGGAGTCCTCGGCCCAGCTGTCCTGCACAGACCACGGGCTGCCTGTATAATGGGGCCACCCATCCTCTGTACACCCCTGTCCTCGGGGCAGAGAAGACTCCCATGCCTTACCTGGCTTCTTGCCACCATAGAAGTGAGTGTATTCAGCACAGGTGATGTACCTGAGAGGGGGAGGGGGAGGGGACGGGGAGAGGGAGGGAGAGATATCACTACGCTGCCACTGGCCAGCCAGGGGTGAACACGGCAGACACGGGGCTGCACAAACCCATAAATAAATAAACACAGACGGCCCTGCGCTGCTCGGAAGGAAAGGAGGTGATTCACCCAGGAAGACCTGACACATGAGAGCGGCCGGCACGGGCAGACCTGGGGGAAGAGGCCTCCAGGCAGACACACGGGCGGGGCCCTAGCCACAGCGGGTACCGATGCCCAAGGCAGGAAGAACAGACAGATGTTGCTGGGGAGCTGCGGGCACCGGCGGGTGGCAGCGGAGGAAGACGGATGGGGAGGGGCCTCGCAGGTCTTCCTCAGTGGGTGGGAGACCACGGAGGGTTCCGAGCCAGGGCCCTGCTAGGCAGGATCTGACATCAGCCGCAAAGCCTCGCCCTGGCTGCTGTGTGTAGGAAGACAGCCAGAGCAGCAGCAGAAAATCCACCAGGAATTGACCACTTCCTCCGGGTCTCCCATGTGGGTGCAGGGGCCCAAGGACTTGGGCCATCTTCTACTGCTTTCCCAGGCCACAACAGAGAGCTGGATGAGAAGAGGAGCAGCCGGGACTCGAACCAGTGCCCATCTGGGATGCCGGCACTGCAGGTGGCAGCTTTACCCACTATGCCACAGCACTGGCCCCCAGCACACATTGCTTTCACACCACAGTAAGGTCGGAAAACCCTGTCTGTGGTGGGCGCTGTGGTGCGGTGAGTGAGGCTGCCACCCGCATACCGTACCAGAGCGCCTGGAATCAGACCCCGCCCCTCTGCTTCTGACCAGCTCCCTGCCAAGGCACCTGGGGGGCGGCAGAGGATGGCTCAAGTCACTTGGGGTCCCTACTACCCACGTGGGAGACCTGCATGGAGTTCCTGGCCCAGCCCTGGCTGTGGGGCACTTGGGGGACTGGACCAGTGCATGGTAGATCTTTCTTTCTCTCCCTGTGTCATTCCGCATTTCACATCAATACAAATATCTTTAAAAAAAAATTTTTTTTAATTCTCAGCCTATCACTGAGACAGGAAGGAGAGAGGCAAACTCCAGGGCTGGGTTCTATTTCCGATGATCAGATTAAAATGCGGTCTGTATCAGACCGCCGAAGCGGAGATGCCGGGCTGAACAGACTGCTTCAAGACCCCCGCCACAGACAGTAACCTGTGAGGCCTGGGAGAAACGGGAGGAGGGGGCCCGGCCGACGAACCCGAGAAAAGGGGAGGCCGCTGAAGTTTGCGGGAAAACCACGCACGCGAGATCGCAGAGGTCAACGCCACGGGCTTGAGAAATGACTGGATGACCCCAAGCTCGGCAACAAGGACTCAAGGCGGGGGACAGGGGCTGTGAAAGCCTGGCCCCAGCGGACTCGAGAGACAGCAGCAGACCGGGGCTCGTCACTCGGAAAAGGCGAAGAAACGCGACGGCGGCCGGGGCTCGCTCGCTTCCAACCCCGGGGGGCCCGAGACGCGGCTGCCGGATCCCCGGGCTACCGCAGGGGCTGGGGGCAGCGGTGTCACTGCCCGGCCTGGGGAGTGGGCAGGGGGCTTCCGGGAGGAGTCCTGGGGACTCGACTCTGCGAGGGAAGAGGAGCGACGCGAAGCCCCGGCCAAGCGCGGGGCCGGGCGCGCAGCGGCGAGCCGCTCCCCCGACGCGGTTCCACGTACATCTTGTCTTTCTGGTGCTGGCGTTTCCCCATGGCGGCGAGCGCGGCGGTGGGGTCTTCGAGCGCGGAAAAGTCACGGCCAGCAACCGCGAGCCCACAGACGCCGCCGAGTAGTCGGGCAGCTACTTCCGGGATCCGCGGGCCCACGCCGGAAGCGGGCGCTTGGCATGCCGGGAACTGTCGGGTTTCCCTGCCGCCGAGTGCGCATGCTCCAACGGGGTCTGGGCGCGGTGTGGTACCTGAGACCCTGGACTGAGGGAGGCCGCGCTAGCTTGAGCCCCCTCTTTCTTGGCGGAGCTGTTCTCTCCTCGCACCGCCCCATTTAGCTGCCTGCTCGCTCGTATCCCATTCCCAGAGTGCATTGTGTCCGACAGCCTCCACGCCCCTCGGCAGCCCAGCGACAGGTGGCCATGGACCGTCGCTTGGTCCCTTCTGTCTCTTCTTGAGCCACTTTGGGTCCAACGCTGGGGCCCCGGGTGACCCTGGCCAGCAGCACTTGCGTCTCGGGACTCGCCAAGCTGAGGTGCCGGCGCTGTGGACTCTCAAACCACTGATCTCGGATTTAACACGCCTGCTGAGAAAGCAGAATTCTTGTCCCGCTGCCTCCTTACTCTCCTGTCTCCTGAACGGACTGCCAGCCACCGGGTCACCCAAATTTTGTAACTGAAGGCCTAGGATTGAGGCAGAACCGGGAGGAGGGGCAGACCAATCTCAACTGCTGAGCTTGCTTTTCAAAGAATGTTCCAGCACTGCCCTGGGAGGGGCCAGACCCTCAGCCTAAGAGGAATCCCATAGTTTGAGTCAGATCTCCATGACCTTACCTGAGCTTCATTCTCATACCGAATCCTCTGCCCATGGGAGGGGTTCGCAGTCATTACGGAAGATGCGAGGCGTGAAAGATGTATGGTACCTACACGTCTGGGCAGGAGGGCCCCCCACTGCCATTTTGCAATATGCTGGACACTCCTGGCTGCACCTGCTCCAAGTTCTTGTCTCCACTCGGTGAAGTAATTGGAGGAACACCCTAAGGGCGTACGGGAAAGCAGGATTTAGGTACTCAGATGGCGAAGAGGCAACCTCTCTTCATGAGAAGGAAGGGTACTGCCCCCGCAAAGCTGGGGTCGCCCCTTTCAGGATATGGGATGATGCCCTAATTAAGCATTTTTTTTTTTTGACAGGCAGAGTGTACAGTGAGAGAGACAGAAAGAAAAGTCTTCCTTTTGCCGCTGGTTCACCCTCCAATGGCCACCACGACCAGCGCGCTGCGGCCGGCGCACCACACTGATCCGATGGCAGGAGCCAGGTACTTATCCTGGTCTCCCATGGGGTGCAGGGCCCAAGCACCTGGGCCATCCTCCACTGCACTCCCTGGCCACAGCAGAGAGCTGGCCTGGAAGAGGAGCAACCGGGACAGAATCCGGCGCCCTGACTGGGACTAGAACCCGGTGTGCCGGCGCCACAAGGCGGAGGATTAGCCTAGTGAGCCGCAGTGCCGGCCCTAATTGAACATTTTTAAAATTTATTTTACTTGAAAGGCAGAGTTACACAGAGAGAAATATCTTCCATTCTCTGGTTCACTCCCCAAATGGCCACAATGGCCAGAGCTGGACCAGACCGAATCTAAGAACCAGGAGCTTCTTCTGGGTCTCCCACATGGGTGCAGGGGCCCAAGCACATGGGTCATCTGCTGCTTTCCCAGACACATCAGCAGGGAGCCGGGTGGGAAGTTGAGCAGTCGGGACTTGAACTGGTGGCCATATGAGATGTCGGCGCTGCCGAGGTGGCTTACCCAGCAATGGCACAACACCGGCCCCCTTGTTGAATATTTAAATGGGGCAGATTTTTGGGAGGGCCTTGAATACCGCTTGCTTCTGTATCCCACCCTGTCTGTTTGTTTTGTGGCATTTCCACCTGTGGCTACAGCATACTGGCGGTCATCACCGCATCCAGTGCGCCATGGCAGGTGAGGCTGAGGGGCCTGATGGGGAGTGGGCGAGCCGGGTCCGCATGGAAGGGGGCGGGGCTTTGCAGTGCTGCTGGTAGTCTCTCGGCTCCTCTTGGCCTCCTAGCTGCTTCCCAGGCTGCCTACCTCACAGGGCTCTCTTTCCGCCACCCACGTGGGAGGCCTGGGTCGTGTGCCCAGCTCCTGGCTCCCGCTCCAGTCCTGGCATCTGGGTAGTGAACCAGCAGATGGGTTCTCTCTCTTTCTCTCTCTCATAAAGAAAAAAATAATTTCAAAAAATGAAAGCAGGGATCTATCTCCACGACTTGGTTTGTTATCTCTAGTCTCAAGCACAGAGGAGAGCAAACACCAGGGCTCGGCAATCAGCTACTAACGCCTAGTAGTCATCCCTGTTTAGGAAGGACGCCCAGCTGTCATACAGGGGGATTCACTGTGTGGGGCCGGCGCCGTGGCTCACTTGGTTAATCCTCCACCTGCGGCGGCCGGCATCCCATATGGGCCCCGGGTTCTGTCCCGGTTGCTCCTCTTCCAGTCCAGCTCTCTGCTGTGGCCTGGGAAGGCAGTGGAGGATGGCCCAAGTGCTTGGGCCCTGCTCCCGCATGGGAGACCAGGAGAAGCACTTGGCTCCTGGCTTCGGATCAGCGCAGCGCCAGCCGTAGTGGCCATTTGGGGAGTGAACCAGTGGAAAGAAGACCTTTCTCTCTGTCTCTCTCACCGTCTATTCTATAACTCTGTCAAATAAAAAAAAAAATCAGTGTGTGAGTTGACATGACAGTAAGAGTCACAGACCTTTGAAATTCCTTAGGGAACTGCTGCGTTGGAACCCAACAGGCCAGATCACTTTGATTGACAGCAGATCCGGGTGCAGTTCCTGGCTCCTAACTTTGGTCTGGCACCATGGCCGCTGGCTATTGCGGCCATCTGGAAGAAATCAATCTCTTTCTCTCTAACTCTGCCTTTCAAATAAATACACAAATCTTTAAACACACACACACACAGATGCCTCAGTTACCAGGTTACAGAGCAAGTGAGTGCACTGAGACTGAGGCTTGCACCACCCTGCCTGCCTCTTGGGGGCTTCAGGGAGCCAGTGCGATTGCATGACCCTCAGGGGAGCCCAGCACCAGCAAGGCATCTCCACAGGAAGTTTATTCAGGCCTCCACCGTGATCACTGTGCTGTGGCGGGGAGAGGTCACGGGTTCTGCTTGTGGGGCGCGGGCTCTGCATTGCCAGGGTCCTGCTCTGAGTCGTCTTTGGATCTGGACACGGGCTGGAACTTGAGTAGGACAGGCGGGGTGAAGATGGAGGCCTTCACAGCGGAGGACGCCGTCTCCTCACTGCTGGGGGAGCTGCTGCACGCCTGGGCCCTGTAAGGGGAGACGCAGAGACACACCCGTGAGCTGGGACATGCGCACACAGAACCACTGTAGGTACATGTGACCAAACTCTAGGCTTAGGGGAACTTGCGATGCTTTTTGGTTATTAATGTATGTACTTGACCTTCTTGGAGTTGTATTATTTTTTCCCCCTATCTAAATTTATTTAGTTTGAGAGAGCATGAGTGAGCCAGGGCTGGGCCAAGTGGAAGCCAGGAGCAGGGGATTCAATCCGGGTCTCCAGTGTGGATGGCAGGGAACCTGAGCCATTGCCTGCTGTCTGCCCAGGAAGCTGGAATGGAGAACAGAGCTGGGACTGAAACCCAGGGATTCTGACATGGGGTATAGGCAAACGTAAGTGGCCTCTTAACCACTGCTGCCCCGATACACTTCTACTTCTCCCATGAAGTTCAAGACTTTGTTGGAGCAGTGTTTGGAATTGTTAAAAAAATAAAAACTGGGCCGGCGCCGCGGCTCACTAGGCTAATCCTCCGCCTAGCGGCGCCGGCACACCGGGTTCTAGTCCCGGTCGGGGCGCCGGATTCTGTCCCGGTTGCCCCTCTTCCAGGCCAGCTCTCTGCTGTGGCCAGGGAGTGCAGTGGAGGATGGCCCAGGTGCTTGGGCCCTGCACCCCATGGGAGACCAGGAAAAGCACCTGGCTCCTGGCTCCTGCCATCGGATCAGCGTGGTGCGCCGGCCGCAGCGCGCCGGCTGCGGCGGCCATTGGAGGGTGAACCAACGGCAAAGGAAGACCTTTCTCTCTGTCTCTCTCTCTCACTGTCCACTCTGCCTGTCAAAAAAATTTTTAAAAAAATTAAAAAAAAAATAAAAACTGGCAATAATCTAAGTGACCATCAGAAGACAGTTAACTGGGGGCCAGTGTTGTGCCATAGTGGGTAAAGCCACCGCCTATGACACCAGCATCTCATATGGGCGCCGGTTCGAGTCCCAGTTGCTTCACTCCTGATCTAGTTTCTGCTGTGGCCTGGGAAAGCAGTTGAAGATGGCCCAAGTCTTTGGGCCCCTGCACCCACGTGGGAGACCTGGAAGAGGCTCCTGGCTCCTGGCTTTGGATGGGTGCAGACCTGGCCATTGTGGCCATCTGGGAAGTGAGCCAGCAGATGGAAGACACCCCTTTATCTCTCCTCCTCTGCCCCTCCCTGCTTCTGCCTGTCTGTAACTCTGCCTTTCAAATAAATAAATAAATCTAAAAAAGAAAAGATCGCTTACTGAACCACAGCTGTGTCAAGGGATGAAACTGACACCCCAACAATAACAGCCTCCCAGTGGTTTAATTACTGGAGACAACCAAGTTGATGAGAAGTGCATGCAAGATGATCCTACCTGGGTTGAAAAATTAACCAGGGGGCAGGAGTTTTGCGTAGCAATTAAGACACCCGCACCCCACATCAGAGGGTCTGGGTTTGATAACCGGCTTCCAGATCCTGACTGTAGCTTCCTGATAACGTAGACCGTGGGAAGCAGTGATGCTGGCTCAAATGATTAGGTTCTGGCCATGCACCTGAGACCAGGATTCAGTTCCTAGCTTCCAGCCTCAGCCCAGCCCAATCCCAGCCACTGCAGACACCTGGGGAGAGAAGTGGGAGTGGGAGGTTCTCTCTCTCCCTGTCTCTCCCTCTCTCTCTTCCGATCTCAAATAATAATAATAATAAATTAAGCCCCCATTTTAATAAAAGTTTTTAATGCAGTGGCATGAGGTAGACCCACAAGGTCGCATAGTCAGTACCATTATTTCTAGAACATTTCAAAAAATATCTAGTCATGTGTATTTCTGATTTTTTTAAAGGCTTTCTTTTTGTATATTTGAAAAGGGGGGGAGAGAGAGAGAGAGAGAGAGAATCTTCCATCCTCTGGTTCACTCCCACAAAAATGCCAGGAGCCAGGAACTCCATCCAGGTCTCCCAGGTGGGTGAGTGGGCCATCCTCTGCTGATTTCCCAGGTGCATTAGCAGGAAGCTGGATTGGAAGTGGAGGCAGGACTATGGGATATGCACATGAGAACAAGCAGTGGATTATCTGTGCCACAATACCTGTTCCACACATAATTTTCTAAAATTCTTGTTTATTATTGCAGAGAGAGAGAGAGAGAGAGGCCCCCACTCACCCACTGGTTTACTCCCCAAACGCCTGCAACAGCCAAGGATATGTCACGTAGGAGGTCAGGAGCAGCGAACTCCATCTGGGTCTCCCACGTGGCTGGCGGGGGCCCAGTAACTTGAGCCATCACCTGCTGCCTCCCAGGCCTAGCAGTAGCTGGAACGTGGAGATGGGAACCAGAGCTAGGTACTGAACCCAGGTGCTCCGACAGCAACACGAAATGCCTGTCCGGGTTCATTCTTTTAACCACTAGGTTAAACACTTGTTCTGTATTTCCAAAACACTTTCCTCACCAAAAAACCAAAACTGTATGCCCATCAAGCAACAAACCTCCGATTCCCTCTCCCCAGTCTCTGGGGACAACGCACCCACTTTCTAGATACTTCTAGATATTCTAGACATTTCGTATAGTGGAATCACTCAGTATTTGTCCTGGCATGTCTGATGTATCTTATTTAACATAATGTTTTTGAGGTTGTCTGCATCAGGAAACCATGCTTTTCATGGTTGAATAATCACCCATTTTACGGCTCCATCACTATTAACCTTGGATACATTTGTGTTATCCCCACCCTTTGAATATTGTGTATAACAGTATAACAACATCCATGTACAAGTATCTATTTGAATCTATTTATTGTGGTATTCTTAATATTTATTTATTTGAAAGGCAGAGTTAGAGAGAGAGAGAGAGAGAGAGAATCTTCCATTCACTGGTTCCCTCCCCAAATGCCCCCCAACAGCCAGGGCTGGACCAGGCTGAAGTCAGGAGCCAGGAACTCCATCGGGGCCTCGCACATGGGTGGCAGGGACCCAAGCACTTGGGCCATCTTCTGCTGCCTCCCAGACACATGAGCAGGGAGCTGGACTGGAAGTGTGGAGGAGCCGGACTCCAACCAGGCTCGCAATGTGAGACGCAGAAGGCCAAGCAGTGGCTTAACCTGCTGCACCACAACTCCCACCATGGGTCCCTGCTTTAATTCCTCTGAGTGCGTACATGAGAGTGGAATTCCTGGGTCGCATGGTTAACTCTGTGTTGGACATTTTGAGGAGCCACGCAGCTGCACCATTTGAACCAGAATGTCCCACCACCCACGCACCAGAGTTCTAGTTTCTCCACATCCTCATCAGCGGTTGTCGTCGTCTGTTTTGTCCCAGCCACTCTAAGTCAGTGGGAGTTGGATCTGCATCTCCCTAATGGCTGATGATGTTAAGGACCTCTTCCTGTTGCCATACAAATCCGTCTTCTTCTTGTTTTTTAAGATTTATTTATTTGAAAGGCAGAGTTCACACACACACATACACACACACACACACACAGAGAGAGAGAGAGAGAGAGAGAGAGAGAGAGAGAGAGGTCTTTCATCCACTGCTTCACTCCCCAATTGGCTGCAATGGCCAGAGCTGCACCGATCCAAAGCCAAGGAGCCAGGAGCTTCTTCCAGGTCTCCCAAATGGGTGCAGGGGCCCAAGGACTTGGGTCACCTTCTACTGCTTTCCCAGGCCATAGTAGAGAGCTGGATTGGAAGAGGAGCAGCCGGGACTTGAACCGGCACCCAGATGGGATGCCAGCACTACAGGTGGCAGTTTTACCCGATACACCACAGTGCCGGCCCCTAAGTCTGTCTTTGAAGAAACACCTATTAGAAGCCTTGCACCTGTTTTTCAAATTAGGTTAGTTTTCTTGTTGTTGAGTTGCTTAGCAAATATTTTCTCCTGTTATGCACTGGTTTTTTTTTTTTTTTCATTCTCTTCTTTTCAAGGTGATGAATATCTTCCGACAAGTTGGATTGTGTTGATGGCTATATAGTTATGAATGGACCAAAAGAAAAAATCCAGGTAGGTAAAGCCGCCGCCTGCACTGCCAGCATCCCATATGGGCGCTAGTGACCTAGCCGTTCCACTTCCAATCCAGCTTTTTGCTGTGGCCTGGGAAAGCAGTGGAAGATGGCCCAAGTCCTTGGGCCCCCGCACCTGCACCCACATGGGAGACCTGGAAGAAGCTCCTGGCTCCTGGCTTCAGATCTGCGCTACTCTGGCCATTGTGGCCATCTGGGGAGTGAACCAGCAGATGGAAGACCTCTCTCTCTCTCTCTGCCTCTGCCTACTTGTACTCTGCCTTTCAAATAAATAAATAAATCTTTTAAAAAAATCCATGGAACCGGACCCTTCAGATGGGTGGATTGTATGTTAAGTGACCTCAAAAACAAGGGCTCAAAAGGAACTGTCAATTTAGCAATATTTTCATGTCGAAGAAAAGGTTTCCAAAGTCTCAGTAGTATGGGATTCTCATTGAGCTTTTTGATAGGCACAAAATGCTCATGCTAGCAATCTTGGCTTGGATATCTTCCATCCAAAAAAAAAAAAAAAGGCAAACACATTTTTTCTAAAGGTTTGCTTACTCCTTAGGTATCCTCTGGGGTAGGTTAAGTTTTTTCTTCACTTTTCTTCTATAGAAAGTCTTCCGGGGCCAGTGCTGTGGTGAAGTGGATAAAGCTGCCACCTGCAGTGCCGGCATCCCATATGGGCACTGGTTCAAGTCCTGGCTGCTCCACTTCCAATCCAGCTTCCTGTTAATGTGCCTGGGAAATGGTCCATGTGGAGACTCGGAAGAAGCGCCTAGCTTCGGCCTGGCCTAGCCCTGGCTGTAGTCTTTTGGGGAGTGAACCAGCAGATGAAAGACCTTTCTCTCTCTCTGTAACTTTGCCTTTCAAATAAATGAACAAATAAATCTTTAAAAAAAAAAAACACACAGAACGGGCATACTCAGGATGAATCCTAGTGTCACCAAAGGACTATGGGTATCAACAATAGCTCAATGCGGGTCCAAGGAATGCACCCCTGTTAGTCGGGGAGGCCGTGCATGTGTGGGGAACTTGGGGAGGGGGTAACTGGGCATCTCCGAGCTGTCCTCTCAGACTCCTGCTGAAAATAAGTTCACTGGTGCCAGCATCGGGCCCAGCAGACTAAGCCACCGCCTGTGACACCGGCATCCCCTAGGGGCACCAGTTCGCTTCTCAGCTGCTCCACTTCCGATCCAGCTCCCTGCTAATGGGTCTGGAAAAGCATCAGAAGATGATCCAAGTGCTTAGGGCCCCTGCACGCATGTGGGAGACCTGAATGGAGGTCCAGGGTCCTAGCTTCAGCCTGGCCCAGCCCTAGCTGTCGAGACCATTTGAGGCGTGAACCAGCAGATGGAAGATCAATTTCTCTCTCTCTCTGTCACTCTGCCTTTCAAATAAATAAATATTTTACAAATAATAATAAAATGCATTTAAAACACAAAACCATCCAGTGACTGAATGCAGCAAAGCGGCTAGTGTCAGCCGCACCGTGGGGGACAGCACTGGATGACGTGGGACACACTGGATGACACTGCGGGTGGTGGGAAAAGCAGTGCTTTTTCAAAAGAAAAAGCCATATTCAGGAAACTCCTGCTTTGCAAAGACATCCTCTGGTGCCAGTCCCTGTTCACACACCGGGACTTTTCCCAGCATCCCTTATCACGTCCTGAGGGCACTCCTGGAAGAGGAGGGGACAGGGCCACCCTGCCCCCAGGGGACGCAAGGGCATGCTCACCAGGGAAAGCCCGGACAGTGAAGCTTGTGTACGCTACTTCCGCCCAAGTAGGAGAAATGGAAGCCGCCGGGGTTGAGGACCAGGGGCGTCAGATCGACCATGTGGCTGTGGAAGGCAGGGCGGACACAAAGCCGTCAGCCCCCGGGGGCCCCTGCGCAGCCCTGGCCCAGGGACTCCCAGACACCTCCCCTGGGAAAGGAGCCCCTCCCACCCCCACCCCAGGCCCGGGGATGGAATGGCACCGAGGCTGGCACGCAGGAGGCCCCCCCAGAGGCTCCCTCTGCATCTCCCTCGAGCCCCGAGGGAGCTGCCTCCACCTCTTTGGGTTTGGCGACAGGCTGCTCCAGTTCAATCTCACATCAGACCTCGAGATGTCCAATTTCTCTACCTGCAGGAAGCAAAGGAACCCTCAGGACAGGGTTCCCGGGGCCCTGGCGAGAAGCTCGAGGACTATGTGGCCAGTGTTATCCCGTCCATGTGCTCTGCGCCCAGCTCCAGGTGGACAGAATAGGGTCAGGGCATGGCAGGCTGCCTGGAGGAGGCCGACGGGAGGCACATGTGGTATGTGGGAGCCTGGAGGTGCAGGCAGGTGGTAGGGTGGGGGTGACACGCATGGGAGACCTGGGAGGGACCCACATTTGCCCCCTGTCCTGTGGCACCTCCCAGAATCCTTTTGCGCGTGCACCTGGCATTTGCATGCTAGAGGCCAGAAAGGCAAAGCTCTGTGCTTCCCACCCAACTCCCAGAAGCCCTCTGTGGCTACTTCTGTTGCTGTTCCACCCAAGGCTTAGTCTGCACACACCACACCTGCAGGCCCAGGACAGCCTGAAGATGGGGGGGTTGGGAGGGGACACAGGTGTCCGCCCCAGGAACGCTGGGATACTGGGGGTGGCAGTCACACTGACCGACTTGCTGGGCAGTGGTGGGAAGGGGCCAAAGACCCTAGGCATGGTGTAGACGGGGGGTGATGAGGCCACTACGGACGCCATGTTGGTGGCAGGCGGCAGCAGTGGCGGCAGCAGGTGGGGTGGCTGGCACGGGGAGGTTGACCTGTCCCGAGAGAGGATGCGCTCTGGTTTCTTGGGTTTGGGTTTCTTTTTCTTCTTCCTGGCATCTGAAACAAAGGCGCCCGTGAAGGCCCAGGCCGTGTGTGCGCCAAGTCGGGGTGGCGTGGGAGGGGCTCTCACGGGGTCCCTCCACAAGAGTGCCCCACGACAGTCCTGAGCAGCCCACAGCCAGCCCGCGGAGGAAGGGTACTCTTCCTGCCCGTTCGTACACACAGAGACGGAGGCTCCGGCTAGCTGAGGACTCACGATCCACACTTTGGGCTGTCTGAGTTTCCTGGGCAGAGACGGGTGTCCTGGCCAGTGAGAGGTGGGGGTGACCTGGGCAGGTCCAGCGTTTGTGGACAGCAAGTGTGCCAGCAGCTAGGACTGCACCCCATCCCGGACTGACCCTGTGGCCACCCCCTGTCCTCCAGTTTGAAGCCCTCCTGCTGTACTCGCGGAAGTCTGACCATTTCTACAGAGCGGCTGGCCAGGCGGGTATCAGCCCTTCGGAAGGCGCCAGGTCCAGCGATCGCCACCGCCAGCAGCTAGCACAGACCAAGGCCAAGGCCAGCCTCAAGTCCCGACTGTGTGACCCTCCTGTGCATGCTGGCAGCACTCCTTGTACCTCTGGTCCTCTTTGGTAAAACAGGGACAAAAGCTCTCGCAACTGTGTGGGGGCCATGCGTGCCGTTGGTGAAATGCAGAACCCCAGAGAAACCACACTCAGAACCACGCAGAGGGAGGCCCCAGGAAGTCGCCTTCTCACAGCTGTGGTGTATCCACACACGCACACACACCCCCCACAGGGACCAAGCCCATACCCACGCAAGGCTCAAGAGTGTCTGTTCAGAAAGTGCAGGCAGGACCAGCGTTGAGGCGCCATAACTAAGCTGCCGCCTGCAATGCTGGCACATCCCATATGGGCGCTGGTTCGAGTCCCGGCTGTTCTGCTTCCGATCCAGCTCTCTGCCATGGCCTGGGAAGGCAGTAGAGCCCAAGTTCTTGGGCTCAGACGCCAGGGCCAAGCCTCACCCCGGGAGTAGAGGTGCACGCGGTGGATGCTCCTCTTCAGCTGCTCCAGGCGCTGGTGCATCTCTAGGGCGCCCATGCTGTTGCACTGGTTCAGCTCCCCCTGGACAGCAGAGCTGAACTTGGCCTGGAGAAGGCAGGGTCGAAGCAAAGGCGGGGCGGTGAGACTCCTGGCTCGCACAGGCTCAGGCAGGCGCGGGCTTCGGGCCTTCTCCCCAACCCACCCCCGACACGTCCAGGGGTCAGCCCTGCGGTCCGTGGCCCCGCACCCAGAGGAAGGAGAGGAGCCCGCGTCGCTCGCACTCGGTCTGCTTGCCCTTGCGCACCACCCTCTCGGCCAGCGCGGGGTTGCGGTCCAGGCTCCGGAAGAGGCGGCGCAGCGCGCGCTCCGTGTAGGTGGCCGCCTGCCTCTCGAAGTCCTCCTCGGAGATGAGCTGGCAGAAGGTCACGCTCTGCGGGAACTCGCGGTCGAACTCGTCCAGGACCTCCATCCGAGAAGGCTGCAGGCGGGCGCGGCCTGCGGGGAGGGGGCGAGGCGGCCGTCGGGGCGGAGCTCCCGGGGAGCCCACCCTCTCCCCGCCCCCGGACCGCGCCGCTGCTCTGGGAAGGGGTCGGAGCGGGGGTGGGGCAAGGCCTGGACTCTGGGAAGACCCACGCACCCGCTCTTGTGCCCCGAGCCGCCACGCGCAGGCGCAGGCTCCCTGGCTGACTGCAGCCGCTGCTCGCCTGTCGGAACCAATCCGCGCCGGGGCCGGGGGCGGAGCCAGCCCGCGCGTGACAATGCCCGCCCCTCTGGGCATGCGCTCTCGCGCCCTCGCCGGGGCGGACGCGGGCGGCGTTGCTCAGGGTTGGGTCGCGCAGCCCGAAGTCCAGCGACTTCTCCAATGCCCCCAGCCATACCATTGCCTCCGCGGCACCCAGGGGCGCACCTCTCTCACCATTCTGTGGCCGCCCTCGCTCCTCCCCTCACGGGCACTCCTGAGCTCCGTACTCTCGGTAGTGGTGGAACGCAGAACTTAGAAACTTGCATTGTTGGGCTCAGGCCTCCCTGCAGCTCCAGCCCCACGGTCCAGATGTCCACTAGGGACGCTTCTTGGACATCTCACACTGAACACACCCAGATTCGAACACGGTTTCTTCTCCCTGCCTTCTGGGTCACCTTCCACACCCCCAGCGCTAATGAGAGGGTGCGCCCGGGAGTGCTCCCCATTAGCCCCGAGATCCATGGAGTCTCATCAGGTTTTTCTTTTCTTTTTTTATTAGTTTTCATTTATTTGAGAGATCTTCCATCAGCTGGTTCGCTCCCCAAATGCCCACAACAGCCAGGGATTGGCCAGGCGGAAGCCAGGAGCCACGAACTCCATCCAGAGATGTCAGGGGCTCCAAGGGCTTGAGCCATCATCTGCTGCCTCCCAGGAAGAATGAGCTGGAAACCGTATGGAAAGCAAGGAGCCGGGACTCAAACAAGCACCCCAGTGTGGGTCGCAGGCATCCCTAGCAATGTAACCCCCTGAGCCACAACGCCCACCCCTAACCACATGTTCCTCCCAACTGATACCCAGCTCTCCCTGACAGAAGAGGGGGCACCTGCCACCACCTCTTCCTGAGGTCGGGGAGGAAGGGGAAGCCAGCCAAGAGGGAACCAGGGGTGCAGGCAAGAGGCTCAAACACACCTGGGCTCACATCTCCATTCTTTCTGCCCTGTTGGACTTACAAAATAAAATTTAATGCAATGTAGTTGTACCTCTTTTCTTTTTTTTGGAAGGATTTATTTGTTTGAAAGGCAGAGTCAGAGAGAGGAAGAGACAGATCTTCCATCCACTTGTTCACTGGGCCACAGGGAAGCCAGGAGCTTCTTCCGGGTCTCCCATGTGGGTGCAGAGGCCCAAGCACTTGGCTCTTCTTCAGCTGCTTTCCCAGGAGCATTAGCAAGCAGGGAGCTGTATCAAGTGGAGCAGCTGGGACTCAAAACAGCACCCACATGGGATGCTGGCACTGCAGGCGGTGGCTTAACCTGCTACAGCACAGCGCCGGCCCCTGTACCTTTCTTCAGATAGGACAGGCAGCCTCTGAGGGTCACACACACCCTTCATTACCAATGATGTGGTAATAACAGTGCTACATGCTTTGTCAGTTTACTTGAATTGTCTGAAATTATCTACAGGGGCCAGCATCCTACCTACATGGGCGCCGGTTCGAGTCCCAGCTGCTCCACTTCTGATCCTGCTCTCTGCTATGGCCTGGGAAAGCGGTAGAAAGCAGAGCCTTGAGTGTGCCACCCTCCCTCCAGCAAGGGCAGGAGACATCGGCATGGGAGTGGGAGAGGGGTCCCCGGCTAGCAGGAGGATGGGGGGGAGGCTCTGCAAAGGATAAGGGGCAGCTATCTGCAGCCATGACCCCTGGAGCTCAGAGGGACAGGAGGGTGAGCCTGAGTCAGGTAACCCTGGGACCAAGAAAGCCCAAGGGCCAGGACTAGGAGACAGAGGAGCCCCCTCCCCCCCAACTCCCATCCCTAGGTGCCTGGTTAAATCCAGTCATCCCAGAGTTTTCAGCCAAGGACAGGAGATACTCCCTGGGTTTGAACCCCTGGGGGACCAGGCTCTGTTCTGGCTGGAAGTGGGGAGCTTGCCAGACAGCTGAGAGCCCCTCTCCTGCAAGCTCTGGGCATGTCTGCCTGTAAGAGAACAGTCTGGCATGGTTGGCGGTCATCAATCACACATGGAAGGCTTGGCATCCCAAGTCCACCCCAAGGGACCTGCCTCCCCTCCCCCACGCCCCCAACACACACACACACACCCTAACCCAACAGAACAGTCTCTCCAGGGCCTAGTGATCATTCTGGGGACCGGATCCGTGGTTGGAGGCCCCAGTCCAGTTCTGCATTACCCTCCCCTCTCCCAGCTGGGAAGTGGAGCGAGGCGGGCAGTCTGGTGCCCTCAAGCCCTGCGGAGCAGCGGCCGGCCTGACCGATGCCCTTTCATCATTGCACTGCTTCCCAGTGGTCCACAGTAGTGCAACAGGGAAAGAGTATCGGGCAGGCCTGCTGGCGGGCGCCTCTCCCAGGGCCGGTGGGATCTGAAACCTGGAATGCAGGCCCACCGGGGGCGGGGCCTCTGCCTGGGGGAAGGGTGCCCTCTGACCCCAGAGGCCCAGGCCCAGCTAGGATCTCAAGTTTCCATGGAGAAGCGAGTGAACTGGGCAAAGGGGGAGGGGAGGGTTGGCAGGCTCAAGCCCCCCCCCACAGCCCGACCTGGGGGGTGGGTAAGAGCCGATTGTGGGGGGAGGGGGGTCCCCAAGGCTAGTCCCAGATGCTTTGACAATATCATTGCACTGCTTCTTAGAGCACAGTAGTGCAACCTCGTCAGAGCACCTGCAGCCAGCAGCGGGGACACCAAGGTCCCCAACACACACAGGGCCCCGCGTCGGTGGGACCAGAGCCCCTGTCCAGGACACTTTGGGAATGGGCCAGATCCCGGCCAGGCTGCCATAATGGGCGTCTTCAGAAACCCGGGGCAACTAAGATCTTTCCCACTCCCACCCCCACCCCCACCCCCACCCCCAGACGTCTCGGGATGGCCATGGGGACGGGAGGGCAGGGGCTCCACACCGGAGGATGGGGGCGGGGATAGAGCTGCAAACCCCGGGGAGCGGCGGGCCGGACGGTGGAGGGGAGCCTGGACACAAAGGAGAGGGGCCCGCGCTCCGCCACAGTCCAAAGTCCGGCCGGAGCCCCCAGGGAAGGATGCCTCAGCCCGACGACCCTGCGCCCAGACCAACCTTCCGGCTCCGGGACCCCTTCCGCCTCGGGACCCCAGCCTCTGGCCCCTGGCCCCCCAACCGTGAATTCCCCGTTGCGCCCCAGCGGACTCCTGAACTGAGCGAAGCAGGAGAATGGGGGATGGGTTGGGGTGGGGGGGCTTCCCGCCTTCTGGTTTCCCTGCCGAGAGGGGGAGCCGGGGGTCCCGACAGTGCCTCTCCCCTCGCTTCGCGGGACCCGGTGGGGGGCGTCCCTCGCCCCAGACCCAGCTACTCACTTGGACGACCCTTCCACCCAAGGCAAGGGCAAGACGCGGGAGGCTAGCGGGAGCCGGGGGTCTTGGCCGTTGTCCGTCGCCGTGCTCCCCACCCGGACGACCCCCGCACCTCGTGGCGCCCTCTCGCCTGTCGGCTCCATCTTTAACCCGCTGACAGTCGGAGGGGCCGGGTCCCCGGCTGCTTAGCATAGCGCCGAGTTTATTGGCCGATGCCGGCGCGGGGGCTTCGCCTCCTGCGCGCCTATTGGCTGACGCCTGAGCGATTTCAAAAGAGCCTCCAGGCTCCCATTGGCCCGGCGCCTCCCGAGTCTCGGGCTCGCCTGCTTTTAACAATGAGTTGCTGCGAACGCTTCGCTCCCCATTCATAAGTTTATCGAGAGGGAAACTTTGCCCGCCTTTTCTCAGCTCGCGTGTGCTGCAGCCGCGGCGGGAGGCGCGGGCCAAGCGGATGCGCCCACCTGGGAGCGGGGAGCTAGTGGGGACGCTCGGGAAACGCCCCCCACCCCCAACGGGGGCCGAGCCCGCCGTGGGACAATGCTTCCCTCCGCTTCCCGCACGGGATGTTCAGAGGCTGGGTCCCCGCGTGGTTACGATCCGCCGTGGACGAACAGGGCGTGCAGCCGGGCTGACAGCCGAAGGGGACGGCGCAGGACGCCCCGTGCCCTTGCACAGGCCCTGGGGTGCCGTGGGGGGCGGGGAGGGGAAGGGCACAGGTAGGCACTGCTGGACTTGTATCTTTGGAACCCGGTTGCCTCTCTGCAAAATTTGAGAGGAAAACTGAACCCGCTTCGTTGGGCTTTCTGCCAGGAGCAGGTGAGATGCTCATCGCTGCTGGGATCTCCTCTTTTTAAAACATTTATTTATTTGAGAGGGAGAGAGTGCGCTTCCATCTGCTGGTTCATTCCCTAAATAGTCTCAATGGCTGGAGGCGGAAGCCAGGAGCCAGGAGTTTCTTTCGGGTCTCCCACCTGGGTGCAGGGTCCCAAGCACTCAGGCCATCCCCTGCTACCTTCCCAGGCACATTATCAGGGAGCCGGATCGGAAGAGGAGCAGCCCTGGGATTGCCCATATGGCATGCCGGCACTGCAGAGGCGGCTTAGCATTCTACACCACGGTGCCGGCCCCTGGGATCTGTTCTCAAGACTGCCCACCTTACTGTGCTGGGTAAGGGTGTGCAGACAGAGGCGGGAGTGGGCTAGTCCTGCCCAGAAGGGACTGGCAGAGTTGCCCCTGGGACTTGCAGTGTCCTCTGCACTGTAGGTCGTGGCTCTGCCTGGGGGCTTTATTCTGGTCTGAGAGCCCCTTCCTGGACATTGGTAAGCACTTCAGAGTCGTTACCCAGCCCCTCCCCACTGCCCAGCAGGCCTCGGCAACCTGTGGTGGGCAATGACCCTGGGTTCCACGCCTCTCCGGAGTTCTGCACTGTGGCCCAGATTCCCTGATGTGACTGAGCTCTGGTTGCCCAAAGGGGTAACTGACAAAATGTCCACCATCAGCTGCTTTCCTTTCTGTCTCCCAACCCTCTACTTCCATTCAAATCCTCAGGTCAGGTGAGGGAGGGCAGGGGAGGATGGATTTGAAGATGATGCCCAAGAAGGTTGGCAGGGGACCAGCGCTGCGGCACAGTGGGTTGGGGGGCTGCCTGCAACGCTGGCATCCTGTATGGATACCGGTTCAAGTCCTGGCTGCTCCACTGCCAATCCAGCTCCCTGTTCATGCTCGTGGGAAGGCAGCAGAAGATGGTTCAAGGGCTTGGGCCCCTGCCACCCATGTGGGAGACCCAGACGGAGTTCCTGGCTCCAGGTTTTGGCCTGTTCCAGCCCCAGCTGTTGCAGCCATTTGAGGGTAAACCAGTGGATGGAAGATCTCTCTCTCTCTGTAATGCTGCCTTTCAAATAAATAAATAAATGGTGTTTAATAAAAAGGTTGGCAGGGGTTAGTGCTGTGGAGCAGTGGGCTGGGCTGCCGCCCACTATGCCAGCATCCCCTATGAGTGCTGGTTGGTGTCCCAGCTAGCCCACTTCTGATCTAACTCCCTGTTAATGTGCCTGGGAAAGCAATGGATGATGGCCTTGAGTCCTTGGGCTCCTGCCACCTACATGGGAGACCCAGATGGAGCTCCAGGCTCCTTGGCTTCAGCCTAGCCCAGCTCTGACCATTGCAGCCATTTGGGGAGTGGAAGACCATTTGGGGAGCGATGGAAGACCTCGATGTCTCTCCCTCTCTGCTACTCTGCCTTTCAAATCAATCCATCAACCGTTTTTTTTTTTTTATTTTTGACAGGCAGAGTGGACAGTGAGAGAGAGACAGAGAGAAAGGTCTTCCTTTGCCATTGGTTCACCCTCCAATGGCCGCTGCAGCTGGTGCGCTGTGGCTGGCGCACCGTGCTGATCCAAAGTCAGGAGCCAGGTGCTTCTCCTGGTCTCCCATGGGGTGCAGGGCCCAAGCACTTGGGCCATCCTCCACTGCACTCCCGGGCCACAGCAGAGAGCTGGCCTGGAAGAGGGGCAACCGGGACAGAATCCGGTGCCCCGACCGGGACTAGAACCCGGTGTGCCGGCGCCACAAGGCGGAGGATTAGCCTATTGAGCCACAGCACCGGCCAATCCATCAACCTTAAAACACTCACCCCCACACACACCCACACAGTGGCAGTAGCAGGTGGGGAGGGGAAGTGTACTGGACCAATGGCCTACACATGAGCACCCTCCTCTCCGCTCCCTCCCCCAAATTCACAATTGGGCAGAGCTTTTCTGCCATGCTGCCCCATCCTTTAAATAAAACCAACCGTTCTCCCAGATGGTCACACTATTCCAAGCCCCTTGCAGCCAGTTGCCACCTCGGCCTCTCTGGTTCTTTTTCAAGGATGGGCACCCTTTAAGCATTTCCCTTAGTAAGCCCCTACTCCGCGGAGTTGGCAAATCCAGGAAGCTTGTAATCCCCGTCGTCACCTCTAGAGGGCACCCACGCACCGGCAATGCCTCCTGCCGGCTTCCTTTCTTCCCGGATGGGGATCCTGACCGCCCCAAGTTGCGCCTCCTCTCAGGTGTCTGTGCCAGGCAGTTCTTTGTGGCTGCTATCCCTTGCAATAGCCTTGGGCGGTCACGGTCGGGACCTGAGATGCCGCACACCTAGGGGCTCTGGGGAGGATGAGGATGGGTGGGGTGCTGCTTGTACCAAGATGAGGAACCCTGTGCTTGCTAATTTCCAGCAGGAGGACAGAGCCCTCTCCTGGCCCTGGGTCGAGGCGGCCGGGAGCCTGAGGTCACCGCTTCTGTGCCCCATCCCGGCTGGCAGGAGATGGGACCCCCTGCTCACCCTGCCGCGGGGACACAGCCCCAGCCCTCAACAGGAAGGGGCCGGGTACCACCCAAGGGAGGATGGAGGCCCGCACTTGCTGAAGGTGGTACCGCAGTGCATGCAAAAGCATTCAAAACGTCAGCAGAGGCAGCACTTGGTGTGGCAGCTAAGATGCTGGCCGGTGGAGCCGGTGCTGTGGCACAGTGGGCTAAGCCTCCACCTGCAGCACCAGCATCCCACACAGGGCCGGTTCAAGTCCTGGTGCTGCTCCTCTTCCGATCCAGCTCCGTGCTGGTGCACCTGGGAAAATAGCAGAAGATGGCCCGAGTGCACCTGTGTGGGAGACCTGGAAGGAATTCCTGGGTCCTGGCTTCAGCCTGGCCCAGTCCTGGCTGTTGTGGCCATTTGGGGGGGGGTGGTGGCAGTGAACCAGCAGATGGATGGTCTCTGTCTCTGCTCTCTATAAATCTTCAAGAAAAAAAAAAAAAAAGATGCTGTGTGGGATGCCCGCATCCCATATCAGAGTGTTTGGGATCTAATTCTGCTTCTGCTCCACACTCAGGGGCTGGCTGTGGTACCTGGGCCCCTGCCACCCATGTGGGAGACCCAGATGGAGTGCCAGGAGCCTGGCCCAGTCTCAGCTGTTGCAGCCACTTTGGGGAGTGAACTGGCGGGATGGGAGACTTCTCTCTCTCCCGTCTCACCAAGGAAAGAAAGAGAAGGCGCGGGAGAGGGAGGAGGGTGAAGGAAAGGAGGGAGGAAGAAAGGGCGGGTGATGCTGTGGATACATTCAGCCAGGCCAGGTTGGCCTCTCCGCATCGAGGAAGAAATCCCAGTGCTTGCTGGAGCCTCCTGGTCACCCCCAGGCTCAGGGCCGAACACAACCACGGACGGGCATTCTTTAATCACAAAGGCACTTGGGGAACTCCCTCCACACCCCAAAGTCTCTGGCCCTCCCTGGCCGCCCACCGCACTCAGAGTTCGTCGTGAGCCCCAGCGGGTTCCGCCCCCGGCTTGATGAAGACGCCCTCCATGGCCTTCCAGGTGTTGTGCGTGTTGGCGCTGGCCATGCCGTGCACCTCGTGCTGGCCCCGGATCGGGTTCCCGTACTGCTCGCCGGTGACCGACAGGAACACGGAGGTCCCCACGTGCTGGAAACGCACCGCGGCCTCGCGCTCCCAGTGCTGCCCGGAGCAGCGCACCGTCCACAGGTCCAGGTCGTCCCCCTCGCCGTCCTCCCCAAAAGCGCTCACCTCCTGCGTGTGTGTGCACAGTGGTCACCGCCAAGGGCCACTCGGCCGGCAGGGGCACTCGCACCCAGGGAGCTAAGGCTGGCTTCTTCACGTGCTCCCCACCCCCGTCCAAGGCTGAACCCCTCTCCCCAATCCCGCAGGGTCTTTATCAGTCTTAACCCCTAAGCACCTTCCTGGAGCACCACCCCCCAGATGCCACCGTCTTCCAGCCTGGGCACCAGCTCCCTCTCTCTCCGCCTCTGCTGCCTGCTCCTCCTGGCCAGCCCGAGCCTGGAGCTCCTGCTCCCTCTGCTTGTGGGCTCCCACCAGCGCCTACAAGAGGAGCGACCCCGGACGTGCAGACCGCCCCCTCCCGGGAGCGCCCCCCCCCCCGCCGGAGGCGGGACCCCCTGCAGTACCGCTAAGTCCCGAGAGGGGGCGCTCGGCGCGCGTTTTTTCCACCCCCGCCCCCTTGAATCGAAATTCCCGTTTCGCAGAAGCTGAAGCTCAGAGCCCGGCAGGTGGGGGTCAGGGAAAAGGGGGCGCACCCACCTGGTTGTTGGACAGCGGCGACGGGAAGTGGTGCGTGTGCAGGTTCTTGCCGGTGAGCACGTGCGTGAGCCGCACCGCCTGCCCGCAGCGCACCGGGGCCCCGCGCGGGCACCCGTCGTCCGCGCCGCCGCGGATCCGCCAGTAGCTGTTGGCGTCGTCCGAAGCGTCCACGCCGGTCACCGACTGCTGGCCGCTGCCTGAGGAGCGACACCGGGGCCCGCCGCGGCGTCTCTCGTCAGGCGCGGAGCTCTCGGGGCCCCTGGTCGGCCCCCGATCGCCCGGGACCCCACCTCCCCCCCCCACACACACAACGGCCCACACGCCCCCCGGCCCCCCGCCAGCCCCGCGCACCGGATCCGTATTTGATGTCGTGCGAGTGCAGCCGCACCCTGTGGTGCGTGTTGAAGAGCTTCAGCACCGACCCGCACGTCACGAACCCCGCGCCGGTCTTGGCAGCCACGCCGGCCGGCCCTAAAAGGGCCAGCAGCAGCCCCAGCAGCACCGGCCCCGCAGCGCCGCCGCCGCCGCCGCGGCCCGCGCTCCACATCACCGCGGCCGGGCTTGAGGCGCTCGGGTCCCACCGGCCGCTTCCGTCCTCGCCGCGGGGCCAATCCGGCTCTGACAGCGCCCCGCCCCACAACGGCCAATCGCCGGCCTGCGCGGCTCTCCCTCTGCGACGCCATTGGGTCGCAGGGGCGGGGACCCGCCCCTTCGGCTTGGGAGCGAGGCGTCTGGGAGGGGGCTGGAGACACGAGGACGCTTTTGATTGGTCCACGCTTCCGAGCACTCGCCAATGGGAAACGCGTGTGGATAAGAGCGCCGAGTCCCGCTGCCGCCCATTCCCCCGGTGCACCCGGTTCAGGCCCCTGCGTGTTCCTGGATCTCGGACGCTAGGGTCTCTGCGCTCAGACTGTGCGCCGGCGGCTGCAGGGTCTTGGGGTTGCGGGGTCCCGGAGCACACAGATCCCCAAGGCACCAGGGCTTTCTGAAGTTCCCTGGCCACTGTGACATTTGGCCCCTGGGACAGCAGAGGGCAGCACGGAGCTATGGTGCAGGCTCTCACCAGGGGGCCCCAGAGCTGCCTAAGGGACAGCACAGGCCACGGGGAGTGACAAGCGAGCCTGGGTGACCGCGCGTCGGCTTAAAGGGAGCAGAGCTTATACCCCGTTTGCTTATCCATTTCCAGGAGCATCCTTAGGTTGATGGAGTTCGTTCCAGGCTGGGGGCCTCAGGGGATCTGGCTCTGGGCTACACCACCCCAAACACTGACTAGGCAAGGCACAAGGGCCCCTTGCAAAGCAAGGAGAAAAGTTCGTTTTAAATAAATCAGCCAGGGGCTGGCGTTGTGGCGCAGTGGGTTAAGCTGCCGCCTGGGACGCTGGCTTCCCATGTGGGCTCAGTTCCAGCTACTTCACTTCCTGCTGGTGCCCCTGCGAAAACAGCAGAAGATGGCCCAAGTGATCGGGGTTCCTGCCACCCACGGGAGAGACCTGAAGGAAGCTCCAGGCTCCCGGCTTCGGGTTAGCCCAGCTTCGGCTGTTGCAGCCATTTGAGAGAGAGCTTCCATCCGCTGGCTCACTCCCCAAATGCACCCGGGGAAGCAGTAGAAGATGGCCCAATTGCTTGGGCCCCTGCCACCCATGTGGAAGACTCGGAAGAAGCTCCTGGCTGCAGCCCAGCCCAGCCCTGGCCATTGTAGCCATTTGGGGAGTGAAACAGTTGGATGGAAGACCAGAAGATCGATCTCTCTCTCTCAAAAAAAAAAAAAAACTTCTCAAAAAAAATTTGAAAGGCAAAGTTATGGAGAAAGAGAGGAAGACAGAGATAGATCTTTCATCTGCTGGTTCTCTCTCTCTACAATGACTAGAGCTGGGCCGTGCTGAAGCCAGGAGCCTGGAACTCAGGCCTGCCATGTGGGTGCAGAGACCCAAGGACTTGGGCCAGCTTCTGCTGCTTTCCCAGGTGCATTAGCAGGGACCTACTGTCTCCTGGCGGGCTGTCTGCCTGTGCGGATGGGGTGCGTGTTGGCAGCTCAGCACTAGTCCACATTCTGCAACAGTCCAGGTCCCTCAATCCCGACTGCGGGCTCCTGGGGAAGTCGTGGCTGGTCCAGCTTGGGACAGCGAGGCACTACCAGTGGCCATCAGATGTGGCCAGGTCCTGGCTGACCAGTGGCTAGCACGTGGCCCGGCATGGAGACTCCAGACATTCAGGAGGTAGAGCTGGGAAATACAGATTTGGAAGACAGGTAGCTGTGAGTGCACCAGGACAGGCGGTGCAGGGTACGTGTCTGGTCATAGCCAGGAGGGAGCCAGGAGATGCAGGGGCCCCGAGTCAGACACCACCAAGAGTCCCCAACAGGCTGGAAGGACCAGAAAAACTGCAGGTCAAGGTGAGGTCACAGGGTCACAGGCTCAGAACTCTGATGCTACTCCCAGCCAGGTGTACAGGAACAAGGCAAGTTTTAGGACAAAGAGAACCAGGCTCAGGGGCCCAGCACTGTGGCATAGTGGGTTAAGCCACCGCCGACTGCAACACCGGTTCGAATCTCAGTTGATCCACCTCTTAATCCAACTCCCTGCTAATGCACCTAGGAAAAGCAGTGGAAGATGGCCCAAGTGTTTGGGCCTCTGCACCCATGTGGGAGACCCGGATGAAGCTTCTGGATCCTGGCTTGGGCCGGGCTCAGCTCTATTGCAGCTACCTATAGAACAAACCAGTGGGTTGGAAGACATCTCTCTCTCTCTCTCTCTCTGACTCTGTCTCTTTCTCTATGTCTCCCCCCACCCAACCCAGCAGAGTTACAGAGAGAGGGAGGGAGAGACACAGAGAGATCTTCCATCCACCGGTTCACTCCCCAAATGGCCGCAACGACTGGAACTGGGCCAGGCTAAAGCCAGGAGCCAGGAGCTCCTTCCAGGTCTCCCATTTTGGTGCAGGAGCCCAAGGACTTGGGCCATCTGCTGCTGCTTTCCCAGGTGCATTAGCAGGGAGCTGGATCAAAAGTGGAGCAACTGAGATTCAAACTGGCACCTGCCCTTATGGGATGCTGATGCTGCAGGCTGGGGCTTTAACCCACTGCACCACAGCACCGGCCCCACTCTGTCTTCTAAATAAAGAGGGAACCAAGCTCATCAACATACGATTTATGTCTGTTTCTCTCTTCCTTGCTTTGAGAGTCTCAGCAGAGCTGACGGTGCGCTCAGGGCGAGGGCTGGCTGGGCGGCAGCCACTCTGGGGGTGCTGGCGGAGGAGCAGGAAGAGGAGTGCTCAGAGCAAACGTCTAGGGGATGTTCCCTGGGGGATGATCCCCCAGCTCACAGGGGATCCATGGGGTTCAGGTTGACATAGTGGCTGATGAAGGCCTCCGACGGGGGGCTCTCATCTTCCTCCCCCTCATCGTCACCAGTACCGTCGCGGTCCTCACTGTACTCTCCATCCAATCTTTTCTTGGACTTGGGGGGACTGGCGCCCATGCCGGTGCCAGAGGACATGGACAGCTTGGGCTCCAACAGACTCGTGGGTGTCTGTCCATCTTCTGATGTAGACTCCCGGGGGCTGTCCAGCTGGCTGCCTAGCAGCTCCGTGTCAGAAGAGAAGAAGGGTTCGGCGGCCTGTTCCCAGCCGAGGGTGGTGCTCGGCTCCGGTTGCCCGGCATGGGCCAGGCCACCGTGCTGTGCGGCGAGCTGGGTCGCCGGCTTCCTCCGCTTGGCTCCCTCCAACTTGTGCAGCAAGCAGCTCCAGTCCATCTGGGAGGACAGCCGGATGTGAGAACCCTTCACCGTCTTAAAGCCCAGCCTCAGGTCCATGAGCGTCTCGGTGACGGGCCTGGAGAGGAAGCCGAGTGTCTTGGCGAGGCTGTGCTCGAATTTGTACTTGCAGATGAGCAGGGAGACAGCGCGCTCGACCAGGAAGCTGGAGATCTCCTTGTACCCGGGGTCGGAGAGCTGGGACACGCTGGACGTGGGCGAGATGGAGGGCAGTGGCTTCTTATTCGAGAACTTGCTGTTGGAGCTCTGCTGTGTGCCAGCCAGCCGGGGAGGGAAAAGGAGAGACAGATCACACTGGGTCCACGCCCCTGCCTGCCCCTGGGGGCAGCTCCACCCCACCCTGGTACGGATGCCTGGCTCCCCACGCACACGATGGTGCTGTCACACTCAATAGCCAAGCTTTGATCACAGTGTCACCCAAACCCCGGCTCCCACCCAGGCCTGGAGCTGTGACAGCTGAGGACAACGTTGCAGGGACAGTGCCTGTGCCGGGATACCCCCCCCAGGGGCGAGCCACCTGCTCTTTGCTATCTTCCCTTTCTGGGCACCCCCCAGTTCCGCCACTTAGCAGCGCACACGCATGCGCGGAGTGAGCCCCTGCCCCTGGGTTACAGGCAGCCAGACCTAGAATTCAAGCCTGCCCTGGGCCAAAGGCTGCTGTCCGTGAGGGATGAGAAAGGCCCTTTCTCGTGCTGCAGGGCCTCCAAGATTCAAAATCAATGTTGAAGAGGAGAGGAAAAAAAAAAGACCCAGGATAAAAAATAACTTTTATTCTTCTTCTTCTTTTTTTTTTTTTTCTTTTTAGATAAACACCCTCCATCGGCTTTTGTCCCCTGCCCGGGAGATTTCCAACAGCACTGGGCAAGAGGCCTGGTCCCTGGGGCCGCCCTGCCTGGTGACAGCGCTGCTAGCAGTGGTGGGTGAAGGAGCCCTTGGCCCACAGTCTAGGTCCCAGGGAATGCAAGCCCTGGCAGAGAGAAGCCGAGGACTGGGAAAGGCTTCTTACTAAGGATGTGGTGGGAGAGGGCATGGGGACGAAGTAGCGGGGAGAGGACGGGCAGGAGGACAGGGGTGGAGGCGTGATCGGGCCCCTGAGGCGCCCATGGCTGGAGGCCACCTCCACCGTGACCCCAGGGGCTGGCAGCGTGAGGTGCAGGCCCCGCCAGGGCCGGGCCCTGTGGCTGGAGCTCAGGGACACAGGCGGTTTCTGGGATTCGGGCTCTGAGACAGGCCCCTCCTGCTTGGGGTGATGTGAGAGGCTTGGGACAGCGGGCTCTCCCGTGGGTGTCACCTTGAGCTTGAATCTGGTGGCACTAGTCATGGAGGGGGAGCCCCGTGTGCCCTTGCTTTTCCTGCGCTCCGTCCTGGGGATGGAGGTGGTGGTGTTGGGGGATGCTGCCTCCTCCTTGTCGGTGGGCGAGGCCAGCTGGGAGCCTGGGGGCAGCAGATTGTAGTGGAGGGGCAGCTCTGATGAGGCCTCCGCGTTGGCGGGGAAGAGTGGGCAGCCGTCGTGCCGCCGGGCACCGCTGAGCTTGTCCACAGCTTGGCTGACCACGCTCTGCAGCGCGGGGAACAGGTGATGCTGAGCCAGAAAGTCCAGGGTGCAGTGGGGCTGGCGCAGCGAGCAGTAGCCAGGCAGGTCGAGGGCCGCCGGCTGGCTCAGTAGCGCCATGAGCTTTTTGTCGAACTCCTGCTTGAGGAAGCTCAGCTCCTCCTCACTGGGCGTCTGCCCTGATGCTTCCGGGGTGCCCGTGCTGGAACTCAGCAGGTCTGAGAACCAGGACAGGGGCTGCTCCGGGGACCACTGGCTGGTGGTCTGGCTGCCCAGGGAATCCCACCGCAGGGAGTCCTTCCGGGAGGGCTGACTCCTGCTTTTCTGCGGAGAGAGGGGGAATCACACTTGCCCAGGATCCTGCCAAGCCGCCAGCCCCTCCCGCCCCAGTCTCCGCCCCACCCCACCGCATCCCCACCCCGCCAAGCCTTGCCCTCGGATCTCACCCCTTTCCTCTCCAGTTTCAGTAACCGCTTGAGGCTCTGCTCCAGCAAAAGCCTGTCTTTCAGAGGGGGCAGGGAGCCTGAGCCTCGGGCCCCCAGGTCACTGCCCTGGCCATGGGACCCCAGCCAGCCAGCAGTGAGGCTGCTGCGGGAGTCCGACACGGAGCTGGAGCGGGATGGATAGTTGTTGGGGCGGCCAACACACAGGCTGGGCTGAGCGCGGTTCCGGCAGACCGTGCTCCAGGTGGGCCGGGCCCGGGGCCGCCGCCCTCCGCTGGCAGGCTCCACCACTGGATCTCGCACCTCCACCAGCGGCACGCCAGCCCCCGTCTTCATGGTGGCCATGCGCTCCGTGGCCTCCTCTACCACCGTCTGCAGGCTCTCGAGCACCTGACCCTCGGTCAGGAAATCCAGGAAGCTGCCGAAGGACTGGGGGCCCTTGGTGTCTCGGTGGGGACCTGGCTGCGCTGAGGTGCCCTGCGTGAACCGCGGGGGTGGCACACGGGCCGACCCCATTTGTGGCAATGGGGGTTTCTTGAGAGACTGCACCTGGGCAGACAGGCAGAGCACAGTGGGTAGTGGGCAGGGACACCTTTTACAGGGCGAAGAGGACCCTGGCTCCCCATATGCCCAAGGCCAGCTCCGTCGCCCCTGTCCGGAGCACCTACTTCTTCACCTTGAGCCCTAGGCCCCGAGGACCCCTCCTGGGGTCGCTGGAGGTCAGCGGGGGACACGGGGAAGGGAAGTGGGGGGTGATGAGGCCCCAGGAGGGCCCCGGGCAAGGACAAGGCAGCGGCAACGGCTGCTTAAGGAGGCCCACAGGCACCGAGCAAGGGGGCTGTGGTTTGAGGGGGAACGCACAGGGATCCCTGGGGTCAGCGTCCTGCGGGGGATCACTTACCCGGGCCACATAGGGACTGTGGCCGGCCTCATCGTCGGCCAAGTATCCCGAGTGGTAGCGGAAGCTGGCCATGGTGCGGGTGGCCAGGCCCCCTGCCGGCTTCCTCTCTTTGCGATCCACAGCACTGCGCGCAAGGACGGGGAGACGGCTGTGAGGGTCTATCCAGGCTCCAGGGGGACAGTCTCCCCGCACCCCGCGATCCCCAGGCATCTGCGGACAGTCTGATGAGCCTGGAGTATGTGTGTGTGTGTGTGTGTGTGTATTGGGGTGGGGGGTCCTCCGAAGAGCGTCAGAAATCGTGCCTCCGAGCATCTCTGGGTTTGAGTGCGCTCCCAGACCCCGCGTGACCCGGCCTCTGCTCCCGGCCCCGGCCCACCCACCCGCTCACCTGAGACCCCGGCTCTGCCGCGCGCGGTCCTGCGCCCCGTGCGCCCGCCGGAGGGAGGGCAGCGGCGCGGACCGCTTCGAGTCTCCAGGCGGCCGCCCAGCTCACTAATTTGCATACCGAGCTCTGATTGGCTTACACTGGGACGGTCGCCCGCTAACTCCCCCGACACAATGGTTGTGGGGGCGTGGTCTGCCTTGGTTCCTCCCTCGCTGGGCAGGGTTTCGCTCCGCCCCGCCCCATTCTCCGAGAGCCAGGGGACCAGAGAGAAGCTGCTACCCACCCCCCCACCCCCCGCCCCGACCCGGCTCGGTCCGGCCCCTGGAGCCGTGGTCCGCACCTGTGCTGCGGGGACCTTGCGAGCCAGAGCCACAGCTTTGACGGCACCACTGGGAGACAATACCCCCATCAGGGTGTCACCTGCTTGTGTGACAGGCGCCTGCTTTGGGCAGAGCTTGAGCCAGTCACCCCTAACCTCTGATATTTCCAAGGTCTGGCACCCAGTGGGTGCTCAGTATATGCCAGTTTCCACCTTCCAGTCTGTGACCCCGCCAGCCCCAGCCTCTGACCTTTCTGGGATCAGCTTCCCAGTGGGCGGCGGTGGTGGACTGGGGTCATCAGTGGTCGTTACAGCAGCCTCCTAGGCCAAGAGCCCGGGAGAAGGGCTCTGTGAAGCCTCCAGCCCTGTCCAGGTTCCCTGATGCCTTGTTTGTCATTTTCAGAGTCCACTCTGGCCCTGAGGTAGGGGGCCAACAGGACCGGAGCCAACCCGGGACCACCGGGCCAGGCCCAACTCCACTACTCCCCAGCAGGACCATGCCTCTTGGATCTGAGCCTCAGGATCTACGGCCATGGAACAAGAATGGCATTACCGACTTCATAGTCTGGGCACGGATAGACCCTTCCCCATAGGGAAAACCAAAGACAGTCGCGGATATAACAAAAACTCTGTTTTTCATGGTGACTCTTAGTCACAGGTAAGGAAAGCTTTCCTGGGCCAGAGAAGGGACAAAAGAAAAAAAAAAAAAAAGTGATGTCGTGAAGGTGAAAGTTGTGGGCTGGCACAGGGCTTGAGACGGAAGCCGGGGCTATTGCTTTCCTATGAGGACAATGGTGTACGTGTTTTGTTCATTTTCTCATTATTTGAGGCTTTTACAAATCAAGGGAAACACTCTTAGAGGAAAAAAAATCATCAAAGGACAACAGGCAATCTGAAAAGGAGATGAAAATACCCAATAAAGTGAAAAAAGCCAAACACACTCTTATTAAAAAAAATTACAAGAATGAGCTAAGGGTGGGTACTTGTGGCACAGCAGCTTAAGCTGCAGCTTGGCATGCCATCCCTTATCCAAGCACTGGTTCGAGTCCCGGCCGCTCCACTTCCGATCCAGCTCCCTGCTAATGTGCCTGGAAATGCAGCAGGAGATGGCCTGAGTGCATGGGTCCCTGCACCCACAAGGGGAACCAGGATGGCGCTCCAGGCTCCTGACGTCTACCAGGACCAGCACTGGCTGTTGCAGCTATCTGGGGAGTGAACCAGCGGATGGAAAACTCTCCCCCTCCCCGCCCCGCTTCCTTCTCCCACTTTCTGTCTCTTTGCCTCTCGAATGAATAAGTCTTTAAAAATAATGAGATAAAACTCGCGTGATCATATTTATCTTCTCTAAATGAGACCAAAAAAAAGTTTTTGGTGGGGAGGAAGAGGAATTGGGTGTGTTGATTTGCTTAGAGAAAGCCCTGGAAGGTCACTTCCAATTTTGCATATCAAATACGGAGGGCTTCAGAAAGCTCGCGGGTGCATGGAGACAATGGCAATGCACGCGTGCCCTGACTTTGCCGAAGCTCCCGCGCGAGGAAGTTCCGGACGGTGTGGCAGTCAATCCTGCCGCGGCAGTTGCAGGGCCAGGCCGTCACCGCCAGGTGGCGACAACAAAGGCCGCGGGCCGCAGCCGCTGGGCGTGCGCACGCGGGGCGGGGCGTGGCGTGGCGGCCCCAGCTCTCTCCTCCCTCGGCGAGGAGGGGATGGCCGCCGTGGCCCGGCCGCGCGTGCGGCTGGTGGTCACCGCGGACGACTTTGGGTACTGCCCGCTGCGCGATGAAGGCATCGTGGAGGCCTTCCTGGCCGGCACCGTGACCAGCGTGTCCCTGCTGGTTAACGGCGCGGCGGCGGAGAGCGCGGCGGAGCTGGCTCGCAGGTGCTGGGCCGGCCTCTGTCCTGGGCCGGGCTGGGGGCTGGAGGGTGGGAGGCGCTTGGGGCCAACCTCCCGGACCGGGCTGACGTCCATGCGCCCGTCCTCAGGCACGGCATCCCCACGGGTCTCCACGCCAACCTGTCCGAGGGCCGCCCCGTGGGTCCCGCCCGCCACGGCTCCTCGTCGCTGCTCGGTCGCGACGGCTTCTTTCTCGGCAAGATGGGATTCCGGGAGGCGGTGGCGGCCGGGGACGTGGCTTTGCCCCAGGTGCGGATGCTCTCCGTGCCCTCCCTCCCCCGCCCCGCAAGGCCTCGCCCCGAGGGTACCCAGGGCGGGAGCGCGGCGCTGCACGCTTCCCCCATTTGAACTCCGCAGGGCGCTCACTCGGAGCCGCAAGGAAACTAGGTGTTCCCGTCACCTCTCCTTTCAGGTGCGGGAGGAGCTGGAGGCTCAACTCAGCCGCTTCCGAGAGTTGCTGGGCCGAGCCCCCACGCACGTAGACGGACACCAGCACGTGCACGTACTCCCAGGTGCGTGGGTCGGCGCCCCGGGGGCCGGCTGGGGCTGCTCCCCCCCCCGGGGGGAGGATAGACCAGGGTGGAAGTGAGCCGGTTGGGGATGGGCCCCCCCCGGGGATAGACCAAGGTGGATGTCCCCAGGTGAGCAGGTGACGGTGCACACACGAACTCCTCTCTGAGCCCGCTCCGCCCGCAGGCGTGTGCCAGGTGTTCGCCGAGGCGCTACAGGCTTCCGGGGTCCGCTTCACCCGGCTGCCGCTGGAACTCGGCGTGGGCGGCTGCGCGTGGCTGGAGGCCCCTGCGCGCGCCTTCGCCTGCACTGTGGAGCGCGACGCCCGGGCCGCCGTGGGCCCCTTCTCCCGTCACGGCCTGAGGTCAGCATCCCCTCCCCCGCCTGCGCCCTGGTCCCCACCACCTGCCCCCCACCCCCAGGTCCCAGGGCGGAGCTGGCACGGCCAAGGGCTACCCAGGGAAGAAAGAGCGGGGGTCGGCCGGCTGCGCGCCACCCCTCATTCTGCCGCGCCCTTCCGTGGCCTAGCCAGCCCTGCCTGTCACCCCACAGGTGGACGGACGCCTTCGTGGGCCTGAGCACCTGCGGCCGACACATGTCTGCCCATCGCCTGTTGGGGGCGCTGGCGAGGGCCCTGGAAGGCAGGCCGGCGGGCCACGCCCTGACGGCCGAGCTGATGGCGCACCCGGGCTACCCCAGCGTGCCTCCAGCTGGGGGCTGCGGCGAGGGCCCGGACGCCTTCTCCTGCTCTTGGGAGCGGTTGCACGAGCTGCGAGTGCTCACGGCGCCTACGCTGCGGGCCCAGCTGGCCCAGGACGGCGTGCAGCTCTGCGCCCTGGACGACCTGGACTCCAAGAGGCCCGGAGAGGGGGTGCCCTGTGGGGCCACTCTGGAGCCCTTCCTGCAGCCCTCGACACCTTGACTTCGACCGAGGGCCCAGCTCTGATTGGCCCTTCGTGCAGAGAAGGCCGTAGAATTAAGCCTTGGCACAGTCTGGAGCCCAGCCCCGGAGCAGAGTCCGTGACTGCTCTGGGTGTGGGCCACTTCAAGCCCAGGTGGTCAGTTCCTCCTGGCTCAAGTGTAACAGTCACAGTGTGGGCACGCCCAAGTCTTGGCTGCAGGCTGCCTCAGCCTGTGCCGCCTGTGCCCAGGTGTGCCGGGAACTTAGTGTCCCACACAACCGCAGTGCAAACCCGTGATGGTTTAAGGGCAGTGGGCAGAGACGGTGATATTTAATAAAATGTTATGTGCATCTTTCAAACTTGTGTAGTTTGTGAACTGTGCCCAGGGAACCTCACAGACAGGAAACACAGAGCCACTGCCCCTTGACCTGCCAAGTGGATATTCCAGAGAAGATATGGACCGGTTTTGTTCAAGCTTGGGTTTTTCTCCATCCTTTTTTGGGGGGAAGGAACGGAGGACGGGGCAGGGGTGGCGGTAAGAGTGGGCAGATTGTCTCGCCAGGCTGCTTTTTGCAGTTATAATCTCCATTTGGAAGAAAAAAAGGAAGTCACGTGTTCTAAGTACGCTGCTCCAGGGGACACATCCTAGAGCTCACAGAACTGTGTCTGGACTTTGGCAGGGGCGGTCTCCGGTGGGAAGTGGGATCCTGGGATTCTGAGCTGGGCCTGGTGACGTGTGGATGCCCTGTGGGCCGGGGGTCCTGCGATGCAGGAAGGCAGTGGGGGATTTCTCAGAGGACACACAACGTCCCCCTCCACCCAGCTCTGGAGGACGGGAAGGCAGACGACCACCACGCGGTCCTTCGCCTCATCCCGTGTAACTTCACATCACAGTGCCGGGGGTCCCAGCCTTACAGACCAAGGTGGCTTTGCACCTGCTCGCTCATTGGATGCGCATGAAAGGGGTAAGGGTGGGCTCTGCCTCCTCCTCCCCACCTCTGCTCCCCTCGACTGTGCCCATCTTCCTTCCTAACTGGCCCCGCGCCCTCCAGCACCCTTGACCTTGACCCTTGCAGCCACAGTACCTTTCTCACTTCCTTTCCCTCATGTCTATGGACTCAATCACCAGGAGGCTGCTCCCTCCTCGCCTTTGAGCCCACTGTGGTCTGGCTGCACTCCTGCCAGCTGCCCGCTGGGGTAACAGGGAGGTCAAAGGCAGCTCCAGCGTTCGACTAGTTTTGTTCTGGGAGGCGGCTGGTGTTGCAGGGCCAAGGCTCAGAGGGAGAGAGGTGTGGGTGGGCAGAAAACGACCGAGGGGCTTGCACACATGCTAGATGGAGCTGACACCCCTGGGGGCTGGGACCAGCTCAGGGACCTAGATGGCACACGCATGGGACCAGAGACACTGCCAAGTCAGCGCAGGAGCCATGCTCAGAAGCTGCCGTCTGCTTGGGGCCCCGGGCCAGACGTGCAAGATGGTGACAAGGCCCGCTGCAGGGAACATGGGCGTGATGAAGCAGACACTCGGCTCAGGCTGAACAATGACCAAGTGAGAGGGTCAGAAGATGGGGCTCCGAAAGTTGAGAGAGGCTCTTGCTGTTCCTGAGCTCAAAGGGACCTCCCGGAGGAGCCGTGCTGAGTGGTGGGATGCAACAAGCCAGGGTGGGTGCGTGGCCCAGCAGCTGAGACACTTGGGCCACGGGTACCCGGCATCAGAGCGCCTAGGTTTGAGTCCCAGCTCTGATTTGGATTCCAGCTACCCTGGGAAGCAGCAGGATGGTTGGGTCGCTGCCATGCAGTGCGGGAAACTGCAATCCTGGCTCCTGGCTTTGAACTGACCCGGCTCCAGTTGCTGTGGGCATTTGGAAAGTCAATCAGCAGACGAGACCTCTCTCTGTCTCTCACATAATGTAAGTTAAAGTCAGGCCAGATGTTCTCTGGGTCTATTTTGTCCTCTGTACCAAGGTGGACACGGTGCTCACAGGGCTGTCCACAGCTCACAGAGAAGTGACACCCCAGGAAGCTTCCTCCCAAGACCCTCCAGCCCCAGCTGACAGGGCAGGCCCACGCCACTGATGGTTACTGCAGCTCCTTGGCAGCCGGCTGTCCCAGGGACCCAGGTGGGTTTCCGGCGGCACCATTTGGGGAGAATAGCTTGAGTCCCACCATCTTGATGGCGACAGCCACCTTCCTGGGAGCCTGTTTTACCTCTGCTGTGGGTTGTAACCTCAGCTAGTTGGGGCTACAGGGCTGAAGTGACACATCCATGCATGGGTCTCAAGACACCCACGGGGAGGCAGGAACACCTCTGTGCATTCTCTCAATGCTCCCCCCTCAACCGGCTTTGATAGGTGGAGAAACAGAGCGCAAGCTCCCATCTGCCAGTTCACTCCCCAACTGCCCGCAACAGCCAGAGCTGAAATCCAGTCTGTCTCCCACGTGGTGGCGGCAGCCCCATCCCTTGAGTCATCACTGCTAGCTAGCTGCTAGGGTCTGCCTTGGCAGGAAGCTGAAGCCCAGCGCAGAGCCAGGTTTAGAAGCCGGGCACTCTGCCGTGGGACATGTGTGTCTTAACTGCTAGGCTAAATGCCCACTCCTCTGCATGCCTCTTTGGGAGGGTGTGGATAGGTGAGAGATCAGAGACCCCAGCCACCCCTCCACGGTCTCCCAGCACACTGGCCCCTGGGCACAGCCCACCCCAGGTAAGGAAGAAACCCACACGATCAGACCAGCACTGGAGAGCGTTTTTATTGAGGGCAGCAGAGCGGGCGGCAGCATCTCAGAGAAGCCCAGTCTCCGCCATGGCTGGGGGTGCAGAGAGCAGGAGGGCCCGGCGCACTTCAGGAAACGGGCGAGGTGCAACTCCTGAGCGAGCCTGGGGCCGGCGGCAGGTGGGCGGCTATGCCGAGCCCTCGCCTTCTCCGGAGGACCTAAGCCTCTTGGTTTTGGAGCAGCCAGGGCGGCCTGCCAGCTTGTTCGAAGCCTGCCCCGGGGCGCGGCTGGAAGGAGCCAGCCACCCAAGCCAGAGGCCTGAGCGCCTGCTGATTGAAGAGCTGGGCTCTGCTGCCGGCACACGGGCAACCTCCCCGTGGTGAGCAGAGACCAGTGCGGGGCAGGGGGTTTGACAGGCAGGCAGAGCTAGGTTGGCAGAAAATACAAAGCAATGGGACAGTTTCCAAGAATGGCAATTATTTCTGGACAGGAAGGAACGGTGGCTCATCTGGAGAGCTCCCGATAGGATTTGGCATTTTTATTACAAGTCTGAGTGTGAGTGACACAAAATCCACCATCACCTTTCTGCTCGTGAAGAGGCCGACGTGGCAACGCCGGCCCAGTGCCCCTGCCATCCTGGGCACAAGAAGGTCTCCAGAAACCTGCCCCTCGCGTCCCTAGCGCTAAAGAAAGAAGCTGGGCTCATTCGCACACATCAGGGGCCACGCGCCTGGACAACCACACAGACGATGCCGCCACTGCCTAACCCACCGCTGCCTCTTCCACGCAGGCCTCAGGTGTCTGCGAGCCCCAGAATCTCACATTACAGAACTAAAGTTAAAACAGAAAGCAGCTTCTGTCCCCAGGCAGCCAAGAGGGGAAGCCGCCAGTGGCAGAAACAGAGGTGGTGACACGCGGCGCTCGGCCGGCCGCCGCCCCTGGGAGTTAGCAGGGCGTGCAAGTGAGTAAAGTTTCCTCTGCTAGTTCAGGGACAGTCCCGCTTTTGCCTTGCAAAAGACAGCAACATTCAAATCCTTACAAAGTTCGTCTGATGATAAATTCTAAGGTCAATTTTTTATTTCTACAAAAAAAGGCAATCAAAACAATATAAAACACATTGAAAGGATATTACTGAGTGAGCTTCGAGTGCAGCTTGACTCGGCAAAGGCTGTGAGTCCAGAGGGGAGAAGGAAGGCCATCTCATTCCTGGGCTGGACAGGCGGCGGCTGTGCCGGAAGGACTCCGATCCCACAGAGGGTCGCACTGGGCCGAGGGAGGGCTGCGGTGGGCTGCTGCACTGTGGAGGCAGAGCTCCGTGGCACATTCGGCTGCAGCCTGGTGGCAGGTGACCTTGGAATTCCGGGCGGCTGCCCTGGCTTCGCATGGCCCACAGTGACCAGCAGATCTTCTGAAGTGGCTGCAGGGAGAGGCGCCGTCCTTGGCCTTGGGGCAGGGGGGTGCAGGGGGGCCTTTCTGGTGAGTAATTCCTGGCCCAAGCAGCTGCGGCAATGTCCTGGGGCTGGAAGGCCCTCCCTCCAGGGTCACCAGGCTTCCCGGGCAGGCCAGGCCGGCCAGGCCGCAGTCCAGTCACGCACACAGGCAGTGGGTGTGTGCCCATTTCATCAGCATCACCGTGGTAACATTCGCCAGAGCTTCACTCAAGAGCAGGGCCTCCCTTTCCACGGAATTTTTTTTTTTGAGGGGAGAGGGGTGGGAGAGGTGGTGGTTGGAGGCTTTTGTGGCTTTTTAAAGGATGTTATAGAGCGGATTCGGGAGAATTTGGACTAACTCCCACACTGGGTGGTGTCTCCTCTCCTTTCTGGAGGAGACAGGGCTGGGTCGGGGGGTGCGTGAACAAGTGCTGTGAGAAGGTGGGAGCTGCAGGGCCGGGGGACAGGGGAACCACAACCTTTGTGTTTTTTTTTTTTTTTTTTTTCCTTTTAACTTTATGGACTAAATGTAACTTGAAGATTTTGGATAAATTTGGACAAGAAAAGAAACACCATTTTTGGAAATAGATTGAAGCAGTGATTTTTGAAACAAAGAGAGCAGAACTAGAACATCTGAAATTTTTAATCCTTTCTTTACAGGTTACCTAGACCGCTTTTGATTAAGAAAACTGTAGAAAGTTAGTAACTGCCACGAGCGGACGCCAGGCGGTGGCACGTGTCAATTTTCCACAGAGTCCTGCTTTGCGGGGTGTCTGAGGGCACTGCTCGGGGTCTCTGCTCACATTGGCTGGAATCATCCGTGGCAGACTTTAGTCCACAGGTCGCTTCTCCCCATATTTCTTTGTAAACTCTTCAGCATTCTTACAGAATTTTTTACGGTCCTTAGAGTATTCTTCAGCTAGGTCGGCCCGGAGCGGGTGCTCGGGCTGGGGGTCGTTCACCAGTGCTATGAGGGACTGGATTACTGTGGAGAGAAGGACAAGGCGTCGGGGTTAGAAGGGTCTCAGAAGGAGCCCGGGCGGAGGCGGACGGCCCCAGCACTCAGCCCACCTCTCCTCCGCAACAGGAGAAGGCGGTGAACAACCAGGAGCCAGAGCACAGCAGTTAATCATCTCCAGGAGGAGGTCCTGCTTCCCCGCTCCTCCCAAACCCCCAGGGACAGCAGGCTCGGCGCAGCCACCCTCTCACTCACGCAGGACTGGGCAGCGTGTCTCCACATCTGCCCAGCACCCGGCACTGCGCTTGGTTCATGGTAGTTGAAGCAAGCACAAGAGGTGTGTGACAGGGCAGTCCCTGTCAGTCTCTGAGGAGCCCACCCCAGAATACCACAAGGAGCTTCTTTTTTTTCTTAATTTTTTTTAATTTTATTTTTATAATTTATTTTGACAGGCAGAGTGGACAGTGAGAGAGACAGAGAGAAAGGTCTTCCTTTGCCGTTGGTTCACCCTCCAATGGCCGCCGCGGCCGGCGCGCTGCGGCCGGCACACCGCGCTGATCCGAAGCCAGGAGCCAGGTGCTTCTCCTGGTCTCCCATGGGGTGCAGGGCCCAAGCACTTGGGCCATCCTCCACTGCACTCCCGGGCCACAGCAGAGAGCTGGCCTGGAAGAGGGGCAACCGGGACAGAATCCGGTGCCCCGACCGGGACTAGAACCCGGTGTGCCGGCGCCACAAGGCGGAGGATTAGCCTAGTGAGCCGCAGCGCTGGCCCCCAAGGAGCTTCTGAACCCTCCCCACCCAGCCACAGGGAGGCTGAGAGTGGCCAGCGTCGTCACTGTCACTCATGCAGGCAGAAGTCACACTTGTGGCTTGGGCTGGTGGCCCCATGCCTCCCCACACTCACTCCCTAGCCCTCTGCGTACCACCAGCATCCCCGCACCCGGCGACAGTCCCTGCAGAAAGGCACCTGCCCTCTCTGGATTGCTGGTGGCCCAGACTTGGTTACCAGGGCCCACGCGCTGCCTGCAGTTTCGCCGAGGAGTGGATTTGCGTGCACCAAGGTGTGGCCAGTCAGCACCACAGGGAGTGCTCCTGTGACCACAGTGGGCTCAGGGAGGGCAGAGGCAAAGACAAAGGAGGGGCCAGCACAGGCTGAGTGGCAGGATGAGTGGCTGGACTTAAAAGAGCAGGCAGGGCAAAGGCCCTAGAAGTTTCTCTGTGGCGCAGAGTGCTCTAACTCCATTACCACACCCTCGGGTGGAGACATCATCATTTCCCCGGACCTATCACCTAGACCGCCTCTGGACAGGCCCAGAAGGTGTATTTTGTCTGTTTCAAGATGTTTCCTTTCTGTTTTACCCCAGCCTGGCCCCACAGAAATGATTCAGCCATTGGTATTACACGGCTGCGGCCAGCTGGCCACAGATCCCTGTGTAACCTATACCATCAGAAAGCTTTGTAAGAACTGAGGGGCGGGGACCAGCACCGTAGTTCACTTGGGTAATCCTCCACCTGCGGCGCTGGCATCCCATATGAGCGCCGGGTTCTAGTCCCGGTTGCTCCTCTTCCAGTCCAGCTTTCTGCTGTCCCCGGGAAGGCAGTGGAGGATGGTCCAAGTGCTCAGGCCCTGCACCCGCATGGAAGATCAGGAAGAAGTGCCTGGCTCCTGGCTTCGGATCGGCACAGCGCCAGCCGCAGCAGCCATTTGGGGAGTGAACCAATGGAAGGAAGAACTTTCTCCCTGTCTCTCTCTCTCACTGTCTGTAACTCTACTTGTCAAATAAATAATTAAAAAAAGAGCTGAGGGGAAGGGAACAAGTGACTCAAGTGGAAACCCCCGTTAAAGACCACCGATAGAAGGTGGCCGTGGATGGGCACGGGAAGCAGTGCCCATCTCCCGCCCCGCCAGTCCCAGCGAGGGCGGTGTCACCTCAAACAACACTTTGTTCATTTTTCCCCCATCAACTTTTTTTTTTTGACAGGCAGAGCAGACAGTGAGAGAGAGGAGAGAGACAGAGAGAAAGGTCTTCCTTTGCCATTGGTTTACGCTCCAATGGCCGCCGTGGCCGGCGCACCGCACTGATCCGATGGCAGGAGCCAGGTACTTATCCTGGTCTCCCATGGGGTGCAGGGCCCAAGCACTTGGGCCATCCTCCACTGCACTCCCTGGCCACAGCAGAGAGCTGGCCTGGAAGAGGGGCAACCGGGACAGAATCTGGCGCCCCGACCGGAACTAGAACCTGGTGTGCTGGTGCCGCAAGGTGGAGGATTAGCCTAGTGAGCCGCGGCACTGGCCCCCCCTATCAACTTAAAATGTTTGTTCATGTTCATCTCTTTGAAAGGGAAGGGAGCCGCCGCTGCGGCTCACTAGGCTAATCTTCCGCCTTGCGGTGCCAGCACACCGGGTTCTAGTCCCGGTCGGGGCACCGGATTCTGTCCCGGTTGCCTCTCTTCCAGGCCAGCTCTCTGCTGTGGCCCGGGAGTACAGTGGAGGATGGCCCAAGTGCTTGGGCCCTGCACCCCATGGGAGACCAGGAGAAGCACCTGGCTCCTGCCATCGGATCAGCGCGGTGCGCCAGCCGCAGCGGCCATTGGAGGGTGAACCAACGGCAAAGGAAGACCTTTCTCTCTGTCTCTCTCTCTCACTGTCCACACTGCCTGTCAAAAAATAAAAAAATAAAAAATAAAAAGAAAGGGAAGGGGGTGGGGGAGAGAGCTCATGCGCTGTACCATCCAGTGGTTTCATGCAACCAGACGCCTGCACACAGCCAGAGCTGGGCCAGGCCAGTCAGGAACTGAAACCGGGTCTGCCAGGGGACCGAGCACCAGGCCATCGTCCACCACCACAGGCACCTCTAAGGATTTTCGGAACACCGGGGCTGGGTGCGCTGGCTGGGCTGTTTCCACCCTCACCGGGACGTCGCAGGGCTCCCTCGCCTGGAAGCCTGAACCACGCCTGCCCGAGAGCACGAGCAGCTGGCTTCCTGTGCTTTCCCACCATCAGGGATGCTCTGCACCAGGAGATTCACTGCCTTATCTGCGTGGCAGGACCCTCCCGGGCTCCGGGAGCTCAGTGCCCAGGATGCCCCACTCCCCCTGCTGGTGTGGCCGTGTCGGGGCTCGACTTCTCACTAGGACCCTCTCGGCATGGCTATATCGGCACAGAACCAACCACTTGTTAATTATTATTATTATTATTTTGACAGGCAGAGTGGACAGTGAGAGAGAGAGACAGAGAGAAACGTCTTCCTTTGCTGTTGGTTCACCCTCCAATGGCCACTGTGGCCAGCGCACCACGCTGATCCGCAGGCAGGAGCCAGGTGCTTCTCCTGGTCTCCCATGGGGTGCAGGGCCCAAGCACTTGGGCCATCCTCCACTGCACTCCCTGGCCACAGCAGAGAGCTGGCCTGGAAGAGGGGCAACCGGGACAGAATCCGGTACCCCGATCAGGACTAGAACCTGGGGTGCTGCCGCCGCAGGTGGAGGATTAGCCTAGTGAGCCGCGGCGCTGGCCACCACTTGTTAATTATGAAGACCTGCTTTCTCAGGAGATAGTCACTGGCCATGTTGGCTACTTGTCAATTTCACTCTTTTCTGTGAACTCACTTGTCCTTCCATTTTACTTACAAGTGTTTTCAAACTGTCTTATTAGCGCTCTGTCAAGTCTGTCTGTCCTCCTTTGGGGCACAGTCCTGCTGAGCCAAGCCTGCCTCACTAGCGGCTGCAGTGACGCCTTCCAGACCTTTCAGACCACAGCTGTGGCCCAGCCACCCTCTGTCACGTATTCGGGAACAGCAGAGGCATTGTGTGAGGATACTTAAGCTTTCAAAACATTTCCGCACCCAAATAAACTTCCACATAATTGAATTTTCCCCACAACCTTTCAAAATTTTATTTATCTGAGAGGCGAAGAGAGTAAGAGAGAGAGACAGAGAGCAAGTTCCCATCTGCTCACCACCGGTTGACCTCTCAAATCAAATGCCCACAGGCTGGGCCCAGGGCCAGGCGGCAGGCGCACAGCTGAGCTGGGACTCAGCGGGCACTGCTCATGGGGTTAAGCCGCAGCTTCATTCCCTTCCTGATCTCCTCACAAGTTACTCTGGTTTCTTCAAAATGAAGAAGCTCAAAAACCAAATTTTACCCACCACTCTCACTGTACTCTCATCAGAGAATAAGGCCTACCACCCATTGTTTTTCCTATTCGTATGGACAGTTTCTTTGCAACAGAAGATGTAAACAATATGGGTAATCTTCCTCTTCATGGAGTTCCAGGGAGCTCCATTTTCACAGAATAAAATGCCAAGGCCAGCCCCTGCTCCAGAAGGTACGCGACGCTGTAGCCTTCCAGGGAATGCACTAAAATCCACAAATTAATCAGCTGCATCTGGATCTCCCACAGCCAACATGGGACGCTGGCGTCACACGCAGTGCCAACACCAGCCTCCTCTGTTTAATGTTTAATGCTTCCTTATTATTTTTCTTTAAAAAAGGATACAAGTCACACACTGAAAAACAACCCTTTTAAAAGCACACAGTGTTGAGTGGATTCACAAAGTCGTACCCAACCCCTACTGAATTCCAGAACACCCCATCACCGCAAGGCAGTTATTGTGGCCCCAGCCCCTCCCTGGACCCGACAAGCATCTGCTCTGCGGGCTCGCCTGCTCTGACCACCCCATAAACTGCTGAGTGCTGTTATGTGCAGTCCTTGCAATCTGAACCCTGTGCTGTGACGCTGGATTAATGGACGAAGGACTGAATCACTGCTCCGAGGACAAAGTTCGGCTGCTAAAGGCCTCTGGATAGAAGCTTGGTCTATGTATATTTAAAGACGCTTTATTTAATATCTAACACTGACTCACTAGCACAGGCTTCCTGGCCACGACACCACCTGACGACACACGTGTTTTCTCTCTGTGGCTCCAGGCCCCCTGGTGCTGGGAACCACAGCCAGCACTTCAGCATCACACTTGGGGCCATCTCAAATTGCTAAAGCACGAAGATGCAAGAAACGTGGCAGCAGAGTGCCGCCTGCCACAGTGTGATGGGAGAGGGCCGCACTGTCCAGCTCACAGCGTCAGCGGGGGCGTGGGGCGTGGGCTTGGAACGATGCCACGTGTTCGTCTTTCCGTCCACATCTGGGATTGATCACGAAAGCACCAGGAACATCTGCACATACAGAAACTGGGAACAAGGAAGCTCCACTACAAATGGACTCCTACCACATGTGGCCACCTGTGACCAGGTCTGCCCTTCAGCATGGTGTCTGCAGGCCTACACGTGCTTTGGCACAAATGGGCACCTCCCTCCTTTCTCAGGTGGCTACAGCAGAGAGCTCTGCTCCGCTTCTACATCCGCTGGGAACACGTGTGGGCGGTGTGTTCATTCCCTCAGGTGTCTGCAGCTAAGAGCGGCACTGCAGGCTCACCAGCGTCTATGCACACTGCTGTCTACTGCGTTACTCTTCACTTTATATTCCAAACCCATCTAACTCTACTGCTGACAGCCCTAGCACTGGTCACTCTCTGTGCTCCTCACGCACGAGACTGCTAGGGAACTCTGAACTGCCAATGGAGCTGGTCTAAGGACCTTTCTGGGGAACAGCAGTATTTTTTTTTTTTGACAGGCAGTGTGGACAGTGAGAGAGAGAGACAGAGAGAAAGGTCTTCCTTTGCCGTTGGTTCACCCTCCAATGGCCGCCGCGGCCGGCGCGCTGCGGCCGGCGCACTGCGCCGATCCGATGGCAGGAGCCAGGAGCCAGGTGCTTTTCCTGGTCTCCCATGGGGTGCAGGGCCCAAGCACTTGGGCCATCCTCCACTGCACTCCCTGGCCACAGCAGAGAGCTGGCCTGGAAGAGGGGCAACCGGGAGAGAATCCGGCGCCCCAACCGGGACTAGAACCTGGTGTGCCGGCGCCGCTAGGCGGAGGATTAGCCTAGTGAGCCGCGACGCCGGCTGGAACAGCAGTATTTTTAAAGATTTACTTATTTATTTGAAAGTCAGACTTACACAGAAAGAGGGAGAAACACAGAAAAATCTTCTATCTATTGGTTCACTCCTCAGATGTCTGTAATACACAGGCCAAAGCCAGAGCCAGGAGCCAGGAGCCTCCTCTGGGTATCCCACATGGGTGATGGGGGCGGGCACAAGCACTTGCGCCATCTTCTACTGCTTTCCCAGGCCTTTTGCAGGGAGCTGGATCAGAAGTGGAGCAGCTGGGACTCGAACCGGCACCTAAATAGGACACTGGTACCAGGGGTGGTGGCTTTCCTGGCTATGTTGCGTAACACCAGCTGCAGGAAGGCTGTGTACATGGAGGGCTGAGTGGGCCAGAGGCCATGAGGCGAGGAGGTCCCGGAACTCTGGGGTCTGAGGAGACCGAGTCATCAGTGGGGATCCAGGCAACAACAGACGATGCGAGGGGCACAGACGCCGCATGTTTAGGGAGTGAAGCAAGAAGCAGCAAGGCACTGAAAAAGGCAGATTCTGAGGGTGGCGGCGGGTAAACGACAGTCAGGAAGTGGCCAGAGAAACAGGGACACCCACCAAGTGGGGAACCAGCTGGGGAAAGCAGCAGCTTGCCCAGAGAGCCACCACTGGGGACACGTGAGGACAAGCAGGCTCCAGCGGGCCCAGGCGCCAACAAGGCACTGTGGCACTGCTCCTGGCCCACCTCTGCAACCAGTTCTCCCACCCTGCGCCCGCTGCTGCAGAGCCACTGCTCCTCCCAAGAGGCCCCCTTTGATTATGAACTTGCTAGATGAACACAGTCCAGTAGAAAGGGGTGAACCAAACAGGTTAACGTGCTGCTTGGGACACCTGCATCCTGTATCAGAGTACCAGCTCTAGTCCTGGCTACTCTGCTTTTTACAAAATGAGTTATTAAATGTATTTGAAAAGCTGGGGGTAGGGGAAGAGGGAAAGAACAGAGGGAGAGAGAGAACGTCCATCTGCTGGTTCACTCCCCAGATGGTCACAATGGCTGGGTCTGGGTCAGGCTGAAGCCAGGAGTCTGGAACTCCATGTAAGTCTCTCACATGGGTGGCAGGGGCCCAGGTCCCTGGGCCATTCTCTGCTGCTTTTCCAGGTGCGTGAGCAGGGAGCTGGACTGGAAGTCAGCAGCCAAGACTCAAACCAGAGCTCGTACGGGATGCAAGCATCGCAGGCAGTGGCTGACCCACTGTGTCCCAACACTCGCTCGGGCCCCTCTGCTCCTGACCCAGCCTCCTGCTGAAGTGCCGGGGACACTGTGTCCCAACACTCGCTCGGGCCCCTCTGCTCCTGACCCAGCCTCCTGCTACAGTGCCGGGGACACTGTGTCCCAACACTCGCTCGGGCCCCTCTGCTCCTGACCCAGCCTCCTGCTACAGTGCCGGGGACACTGTGTCCCAACACTCGCTCGGGCCCCTCTGCTCCTGACCCAGCCTCCTGCTACAGTGCCGGGGAAGGCAGTAGAGGATGGCCCAAGTTCGTGGCCACCCACACTGGGGATCCGGATGGAGTTGCAGGCTCCTGGCTCTGGCGTGGTCCAGCCCTGACTGATGTGGACATCTGGGGAGTGACCCAGCAGATGGATGTTCTTTCTTTCTCTCCGTCTCTCTCTCTCTCTGTGTTATTCTGCCTTTCAAGTAAGTATTTTTTAAAAAGGGACTCCAGCAGACATGACAGTGCGGAGTGCAAGCAACCAGAGAGAGGACACAAGTGCCCCAGCCAGCTCCAGCCCCCACAGCCGAGAAGCACGCCCACCGGAGCTCCACAGAGGCAGGCGAGACCCCAGCCAGCCCAGGCGAGAAATAATGATAAGCTGCTGCTACTCGCCACCAGGGAACTCTGAAGGGGCTCGAATGCAGCACCAGCTGACTAGACACTGGGAAACGTGGCGTCAGGGACAGCATCCCGATGCATGTGAGATGTGAGTATGGGATCGGGGCCGTGCCATGAAGAATCTACAGAACAACTTTCTAGAAAAAGTTCCAAACTGTTCCAAATCACAAAACAGCAATTCTGCTCCCAGAATTGTGGGCCCACAGAACAGCACCTGTACCACAAATTTTACCTGGAAAACCCTAAGCCAACAAGTACACTTACACAAGATGGAAAAGCCAGGTTACCTGGCTCCTTGAAGAACACAAGGAGGCTTTGCATCCAGCTCTGAAGCTAAGGCAGGAACATTCACCACAGCCCTGTGCTGCCACCGTCCCCAGAGGAGGCGGCAAGGCACCCGTATCCAACCCTCGGGAGCCTGGCGAGCTGAGGCCTCCCCTCTGCAGGTTTTCCTAGGCAGCCTGGCTGGGAGGGCCCCGGCCCCAGGGCTGACCTGGCTGATGAACAGAAGTGCGTGAAGGCTGCCGTGCCATTCCCAGCGGAACACAGCGACAGGCTTCCTAAGGAGCAGTCTGCAGGACGAATACTCAAGCTCTGGCGGGCGAGCTGGTGCGCTTGAGACAGCCACATCCCTGCTGGGGCGCCAGAGGAGTACTGGCTACTGTGCTTTGGAGCCAGCTTCCTACAGATGCACTGTGAGAGGCAGCGGATTTTAAAGAAAGCTGCCAAGAATACGAGATTGGGACTTCCTGTGCTTTCATCTGGAAGCATCACCTGCATGCTGGCCCCTGCCCTCTCCCCTCCACCGCCGACTCTGAGCCCTGCGCTTCAGCTCATGCCCTGCCAAGCAGAAAGGCCCTCGCCAGCCTCCCGTCTTGCTTCAAGTCTGGGACCACGTGCTCACTGCTGTGCGACGCCACCTTAAACAGGGCTCTCCCTTCCCCTCCTGGGCGGGGCCACAATCCTTCATCACCTCCAGGGCCTGGCACCCACACACCTTCACTGTGCCCACAGTCAACCCCCGAGGCTGGCTGTCTGTCTGTGTGTCCCCAGCCAGCCAAGTGCGGCCTCCTATATACTTGTTCGGCTCAACAGCTCACTGGAGACGAATTATCCCGGCAGACAGGCAGGACCTCAGGAATACCTTGGCCTGCACTGCTGCTGCTAGCACTGGGCTTCCCTGGACTCCGTGCCTGGCACGGCACTCAAGAGACCCTGGAACCCCTGCCCCACGGCCGTGTCCCAGCAGACCCATCTAAGGAACATGTCTTACCTTGGTCGGTTTTGGTTGCTGGCTTCCAGTTTTCAGCACTAATTACGGGCAGACAGACCTGCCCCTTTTCATCAATGTTTGGGTGATAGATCTTTGTTTTAAATGTGATCTTCGGTGGTTTGAATGGGTACTCTGCTGGAAAGTTGATTTCGATTCTGAAGGCTCCCTTGTCATATGGAGGGTTGTCCTGGAAGGAGACAGGAGACCACAATGATCACACTGCAGTTCACAAACCTGTGGCCAAGACCGGAATGTTCTGTTGTTTACACGACAGATTAATTTAATTTACTCCAAGTGATGCCCTGGTCTTTTTATACCTTTGAATGCTTTTTTTTTTTTTTTAAAAAAGATGTATTTATTTATTTGAAAGACAGAGTGTTAGAGACAGAGAAGAAAAATCTTCCATCCACTAGTTCACTCCCCAAAGGCCAGCAGAAGCCAGGGCACTGGAACTCCAGCCAGTTCTCCCATGTGTGCCTGGGCATCTTCCGTTGCCTTCCCAGAGCAGTAGCAGGGAGCTGGACTGGAGGGGACAGACGGGACTCGGGCCAGAGCACATACGGAATGCCGCAGTCGCAAGCAATGGCTTAATCCACTGCACCACAAAGCCGGCCCCCCAAACACTGTGGTTTTTTTTTTTTTTTTTTTCAGAGCAGCTTTGAGTTTACAGCAAAACTGAGGAAAGCAGAGATTCTCGCATGCTCACTGCCTCCATGCACATGGTCTCCCCGACCACCAACATCCTACACCAAAGGGCAAATCTATTATAATCAATGGCCCTACACCATCACATCGTTATCACAAAGAATCCACAGTCCACATGAGGCCTTCCCTCAGTCCCTTTTCAGATGACCACACTCTGGGGACAGGCAGCTGGCAGGGCCACCCTGCCTAGGCATCCCCATGAGGAGACCAGCAAACGCCTGAGGGTGCTGTCTGCTGGCCACCATCTAGTAGACCAGAGACTGGGACGATTCCACACAAATGACCCACACACACAGGAAAAAATGCAATCACTGGCAAACAGAAATCCAACTTACACACCATCGGTGGGGTTCCTGTCATGTCTAACAAACAGTGCTGGGGACAGGAAGTTGCAGGAAACACAGGGTCCTCTGTGTAAGCCAGGGCTCACTGAGACAGGTATCGGCACCACAAGTCACAAAAGCAGAAGTCAAGAGGCCGGCGCTGTGGTACAGCAGATTAAACTGCTGCCTGCAATGCCAGCATCCCGAATGAGTGCCGGTTCAAGTCCTGGCTGCTCCACTTCCAATCCAGCTCCCTGCTAATGTGCCTGGGAAAGCAGCTGAAGATGGCCTTAGTGTTTGAGTCCATCCATGTGGGAGACCCAGATGGAGTTTCATGCTCCTGGCTTTGGCCTGGCATAACCCCAGGCACTGCAGCCATTTGCAGAGTGAACAGAATAAACTTTTTTTTTTTTTTTTTTTTTAAAGAAGTCACACGGGGAGAAATGCACACTGATGGGGGTGAACCACACACAGTGTGGGCCAGAGCAGACACCCACAGGCTGTCCAGTCAAGCTATGCCCCCACGCCCTGCCCTGTGCTGGCAAAGCCCCAGGTAATCTGGGTATGCATCACTGCCTCATCACAAGGCCCTGGTCAGGGAATCTAAACCCTGACAAGCATGAACATGTACTGGCCAATACAGCAGGCGCCAATCCTGTGTGGCCACGTACGCACCTACATGACTTCCAAACTGAAACATGTTCCAAGTACAGTATGAAGCACTTCCCTGCTCTGTACCAAAAAAAAAAAACAAAAACAAAAACAAAAAACAACTTAAATATTTCACTAAGAAGCATTTATACTGATTTGCATGGAAAACATTTTTTGACCGGCTGAATTAAATATTTACTAAAATGAACCCCTGCGATTTCTTTTTTGTGTCTAATAAGACTACTGCATCAGGAAGAAATACAGAGCGGTCAACACCATCCTATACCCAGAGAGACTCTTGTGTCGCCACAGCACTGCCTCAGAACCAGGAACTTGACCGTGAACAAGCCTCCAGCTCACTCAGACCTCTTCAGGTCTGTGTGTCTTTAATTAGACATGCAATTTGATTGTGTGTTCAGTGTGGTGTGACCCAGAACAGAGACACTCTTCCCAAGAAACCCCCATCACGGCGCTGAGAGCCTACGATCACCTCAAAAGGTCCAGGGAGAGACAGAGGAGGAGGGGCCCTGGCCCTGGACAGGCTCTCTTGTGCTGCAGCCGCCACCTGAATGAGGGCACCGGGAACCTGACTCCATCACATAGCCCAGAGCATGCGCAGCCCCGTTTGTCAGGTGCAGTAAGTGCACTTTGCTAAGCCTCATCCTATGCTAGGTAACTGAAGAGTACACGGAGGGGCTGATGGGGAGTCTCAGGGGGCACTCAGAAAGAGGAGGACAGGGCCCTAGGTAGAAGGGTAGAATGCAGCTTTTTGAGAAAGCAGCAGTGTCAGTGCTCCTGATGAGGCTGATCCCCACTGGCAATAAACAGGTATTTAACCTGAGTGCCTGGCCTCAGACCAACTCAGAGTCAGCTGGCAGGAGAATGAGCGGCCTGAAACCATGGTGCCCAAAGTGAAGCTGCTCAAAAGAGACGGCCCCGGGCCCAGCGAAGGGAGGCGTGACAACAAGCCTGGGAGGCGCTGCAGGTAACCCACAGGGTGAAAAGGTCAGCACGGAGGCAAGGGGAGTTCCAGTTTATAAAATGAGATGTTGGGGCCGGTGCTGTGGCATGGTGGGTAAGGCTGCCACCTGTGACGCCAGCAGCCCATATGGGCACCAGTGCCAGTCCCAGCCGTTCCACTTCCGATCCAGCTCCCTCCCTGCTAATGGCCTGGGGAAAGCAGCAGAGGATGGTCCCATGTGGGAGAGAGACCCAGGTAAAATTCCTTGCTCCTGGTTTTGGCCTGGCCCTGGCCTGGCCCAACCCCAACCATTGCAGCCATTTGAATGGTGAACCAGCAGACAGAAGATCTCTCTCTCTCTAAGTCTGATTTTCAAATAAAGAAGTAAATCTTAACGCTGCTGCTGTGGCAGTTGTGATGCACGAGGTCGCAGGACACGGAGATGACTCATGTCTGCGCTTTTCAAGTCCCAAGGCAGAGAAACCCGGGGACACCGCCTGCAGCGTTCACACCAGCTGCATCTGAGCCAGGCACTTACTCCTGACTACTGCGGAGAGGTTTCCTTTTACAGAGGCAGCCGAGGCCCGGTTACAATGGTAACTGGGTTTTCAGCGGTGCGTGTATTATATTTTCAATACAAGAAGGTGATACCAGTTCAGGATGAAGAACACAGAGCAGGAGCAGCCCAGGCAAGACAGTAACCTCAGCCAGGATCAATTCCCACCTTAAATTACAGACGGTCAGGGGCTGGCATCCCACATGGGCGCCATTTCAAGTCCCAGCTATTCCAGTTCCAATCCAGCTCTCTGCTGTGGCCTGGGAAAGCAGTGGAAGATGGCCCAAGTGTTGGGCCCCTGCACCTACACGGGAGACCCAGAAGAAGCTCCTGGCTTTGGTCTGGACCAGCTCCAGCCACTGCAGCCATTTCAGTAGTGAAGTAGTGGATGGAAACCCATCTCTCTCCTTCTCTCCATCTGTCTGTACCCCTGCCTTTCAAATAAATAAATAAATCTTTCAAAAAAATAATGGACTATTTAAATAACAGTCCATCATGAGGAAGGCGTTAATTCAGAAAGGGAAGAAGAGATTTAGTTAGGATTTTTGCATCCCACATTGGAGTGCCTGGGTTTGGTTCCTGACTCCAGCTTCTCGCCAGCACAGACCCTGGGAGGCAGCAGGGATGGCTCAAGCAACCGGGTCCCTTTCCCCTATGCTGGAGGCCTGGACTGGGCTCTGGCCACTGAGGACGTATGAGGAGTGCACCAGCAGATGGAAGCTCTGTTTCTGAAATTAATTAATTTGATTTAGCTTAAAATAACAACTTGGGAGTGACACCAGCAAAATGATGAGTACAGCGCTCCAAATTCCCCACCACAGAAAGAGAAAAATGACTGCAGGGAAGGTCAGAAACAACTCTGTCAGAACCTGGACAAGAGCAAAGATTTATAGCTCCCAAATGAACACAGAATCAAGACAAAGCCCTCATTTACCCGCTGAGTGAGCAGCAGGCTACCCAGGAGACAGAACCTCCACTCCTGGTGTGGGACCCTGGTCCTTGGTTCCAGGGGGAGCAGAGAAGACCCTGTTGTCTGAGGACAACCTGGAGGACTGACAGAGCTTCCACCTCTTTTGGAATCCACACAGGATGGAAAAGCAGCAGATGCTGCTAAACACACTGTACACGAAAAACCAGCACACACGCTGGCATTATGGTGCTGCAGATTAAGTCGCCACTGGCAACACAGGCATCCCCATCAGAGTGCTGGCTCAACGAGTACCAACTACTCCATTTCTGTCCCAGCTCCCTTGCTGTCTCAAGTATTTGTGCCCCTGCCACCAACATGGCAGATCAGGACAGAGTTCCCAACTCCTGGCATCAGCCTGACGCAGCCCTAGTTGTTGTGGCCATTTAGGGAGTGAACCAGCAAATGGAAAAGCTTTTTTTCTCTCTGTTGCTCTGCCTTTCAAATTAATACATAAATCCTAAAACAAAAAACAAAAACTAATAGTCATCTAGAGAAGATATCCATTGAGATATGATAAACTGTCTTCATTCAAAGAGGAAATGCTGGGAAGAAAGTTTGTTTTTTAAAGATTTATTTATTTATTTGAAAGAGTTAGAGAGAGAGAGAGAGAGAGAGAGAGAGAGAGAGTCTTCCATCCGCTGATTCATTCCCCGAATGGCTACAGCAGCCAGAGCTGAGCCAATCTGAAGCCAGGAGCCAGGAGCTTCCTCCAGTTCTCCTCCATGGGTGCAGGGGCTCAAGACCTTGGACCATCCTCCGCTGCTTTCCCAGGCCATAGCAGGGAGCTGAATCGGAAGTGGAGCAGCCGGGACATGAACCGGTGCTCATAAGGGATGCCAGTGCTGAGGCTAGGGCTTTAATCTGCTGTGCCACAGCGCTGGCCCCAAGGGAAGAAAGTTTTTATTAGGAAATTAGGTCAAAAGTGCCCAGACAGGTCCAGTGTTGTGGTGCAGGCTAAGCCACTGCTTGCCATGCCAGTAACCTCTATCAGAGCACTGATTTTAGTCCCAGCTGCTCTGTT